TCAAATATGAGCAAAACCTATACCATATAGTCAGCTATAAAAGGCCACAACATGACAAAATATGAAACAATTCAAACGAGAAAACTAACAGCATGAAAAGCTTAAAATTGTCTTACCATACCGTATAGTCTTTGGTCTCTGTATATCAGCTATGCACTTTGTACTGAGAATCATATGTTTTACACAGAAATCTGTGATATGTGACTACTGAAATCTGTTTCAAGTATGTGGTTATATGCACTAAGGAGTTACATCTCATCATCACACTTGATCTTGATTACGTTTAGAGTGAAGACTGTATCTTGTGTGTGTGTGTAACTTTTTACCAATTGCAATTATCCAGAAATTTATGGGTTTGACGCATTTTGTTGGAGGATAACCATGGTATTAGGGAGTTACTATCTTCCTCTAAGGATTTAATTACGGATTCCAAAGAAGTGCCAGATTTAAAGAGGGTGTTATTATTGGCATAGTTAAATGGATGTATTTATTAATGTTAAATAACACGTAAAAACTGTTCCAAAAAACTATTCAACGGACAGTATAGTATTCGGCCTTTAATTAATAAACTATTTCACGGTAAGACAATATACATATATATGTCAGAATCTCCAAAAACCGCCGAATTAGAAAATTTTAATCAACTATTTGGCTGTACCTGTAGCATTCTTATTACAAACGGGGTATTTACTGTACTGTTGTCTATAAAGCCCGTAAATTTAGACACGATTTATGTGAACTCATTGATCCTTTTAATAACTTTAGTCTTAAGGATATCTATTAAATAGATCTTTGAATATTGATCTTATTGGTATAAAAATCGATTTTGTTTTTGATTGATTTAAACCATAACAAAAATGAATTGCCACACAGTTATTAAAACTTATGATTCTACATCCTATCGATATTATGAACTTACATTTTGGCATTGAAAAAGGTCATGTTTTTCTTAGACTGTTCGTGTCTTTTGTCTTTATGTTAGTTGTTAATGCACTTCGTGCCAATCTGATAAGCCAAGCTATTTTCAACTGTGGTTAACGGTTTGTGCTTATGTTTTGCTGCTACACCACTGTCCCAGGTTAGGGAGGATTGAGCGCTCACATCTAGACATGTTTAGCTCCGCCACATTCTATACGTTCCGGTCCCAAATCAGGAGCTGGTAAATCAGTGGTAACCATTGTATGCTTGCTATATATCATATTTGTTTTTCATTTTTGGTTTCTTGTTTTGTCATGAATAAGGAGTTTTCTTTTCTTTTGAATTGTTTCACATTTTGTCATTTCGGTGTCTTTCATATAGAGCTGATTATACGGTAAGGGTTTTACTCACTGTTGTGGGCCGTATGGTGAGCTATAGTTGCTTAAATCCACTTCTTTGGACTCTGGTGGATAGTTATCACATTGGCAATAATACCACATCTGACAATCCAGGGGCGGACCCAGAATTTTTGAAAATAGGGGCGTAATGCCCGATAATTGAATATATATACTGCAATTTTTTGGGGCTGATTTTACACTAAAAATGTATATATATGACAAACATAAAATTTATCATTTATTTTTTGCGATCCAAGGGGGCATACGACCTCTTCCCCATGGACCCGCCTCTGCAATCATACCACATCTTCTAAGTCTATAGATGTAGATATAAAATTTCAGACACCTTAGCCTGAGTGTATACAAGCGAAGTTGTAAATTATTTATGGATTCAAAAACACAGGTACAAGCAACACAATACTAAATTACCACATAAAGCAAAGTTTACAGTAACATAAATCAGGTCAAAAGTATGTAATCTGCTGATAAAAGAATCATTCCGCCTTGCTCTCATATATCGGCGACTGATTTTCGAAGAAAATGTGTACACTCATGGCTTGAACTGCGCAGAAAACACGATCTTGTGCAATGTCTAAAAGTTAAATTGTTTTCATAATTTCAAATGGTAGATGAAATAACTGAAACACTTTACTCATGTTTCAAACTGCAATTAAGCGAATCGGTCTTAATATATACACAACAAAACACGCAACAAATGTATAATAATATGACCTTTATCCGAGATTACTTATTAACACGAGTTTATCAATAAAAAACTTAAGGTGCATGTCAGTATAAAATTAAGAAGATGTGATATGATTGCAACTCTTCATCAGAGAACAAATGACGTAGACGTTAGCAACTACAGGTCACCGTATATGACCTTCAACAATGAGCAAAATCCATACCGCATAGCAAGCTATAAAAGGCCCCGAAATGACAAATGTAAATCAATTCAAACGAGAAAACTGACGGCCTGGTTTATGTACAAAACAATAAACGAAAAACAAATATGATATACAGCAACAACCAAGCTAATTACAATATAGACCTCTGATTTCGTTATACTCCATATGAGCTCATATGGAGTATAACGAATCAGGGGTCTATATTTTAATTAAATTGAGCAACAACTGACAACCACTGAATGGCTCCTGACTTGGGGACAGGCACATGCCGAATGTGGCGGGATTAAACATATGTTTGCAGGCGCCCAACTCTCTCCCTAACCTGTTACAGTTTTTGAATTACTTTGACGCTAGGATCTAATATTTAAGTCTTAACTAATTGTTAATTAATAACCAGATTGCCGCAGCAATGTCCGTTTAAGTTTCATGCAATTTGACCTTGATGTCATATTATAGACCTTTCAAAAAAAATATTCGGTTATCATCAACTACGCATTCAAGACATTTCTGCATCATGTGCATGTTTATTTATCTTTTCTGCTAATGTCTGTATAGTTTTCTTCTTTAATCTTAAGAATTTTTTCATCAATTTATTGGCGTTAAAAAAAACCAACAAATTGTCTAAGTCTTAACCGAAATCAGATATAATTTACTCCATTCAAGGGCTAATCGGCTGGTTTTACCATCTGATCCTTACACTCCACCAACAAAGTTATCGATCCAACATATCTTTATTTACCAGGTCCGTATCTAAAAATTAAAAAAAGTCTCTTCAGCTACGCAAATCTTAAACATCAAAGATGCATTTAAACAAAAACAAAAACTAACTTTACGCAAAGAGAGTTGATAATTAATTTCCAAGTTAATTATAACTACTCGCAGACTTTTATTATGCAATGAAAATTACGCTCTATACATTTTGTGCGTCCGAAGCGTGTTTCTAGACTTACTTTCACCGGGAACGCACAAACCCAACATATATATGCCAGGGAGAAAATTTATGAGCTATATGACCAATAGGGGTCTAAAGGATAGAAACATTCATCTAAAGCCAACTTTGCCTGATGGAGTTTGAACCTCAGTTAATTTCTTACTTCATCAACGAGGAATTTTAGAAAAATATGTTATTAAATCTAGTCAGTACCAAAGCACTGCATGACTACATGAGTTGATTATAAATAAAGGCAACAATAGTATACCTGTGTTCAAAAGTCATAAATCGATTTAGAGAAAACAAATCCGGGTTACAAACCAAAATCGAGGGAAACACATCAACTATAAGAGGAAAACAAAAGAACAACAGGAACACCAAAGTGCAACAAAAACAAACGCCAACACACATAGAAACGAACTATTTGATAACAACAGCCATATTCCTGACTTGGTACAGGACATTTTAAGGAAAAATTGTGGGTTGAACCTGGTTTCATGGCATGCCAAACCTCCCGCTTTATAACAATGTTAAAAAATATCGCTAAAACACTATGTGACAGAAATACAGCACAAATACACGCAAGAACATTCATAACAGAGAAACGCACAAACAAATAATATAATAGTCGACACAACATACAAACCACAGAACAACAACGAACATATTATCCATCAACGAAAAACACCACAGATATCAGGATATCAAAAACAGTGACGCGCTTACGTAACTAACATGCAATCTGGAACTTTATACAATTATTTTCACAATATTGGTCCAAACAATTTTCATGACAATAATGGTATTAACCTCGGGGATTAAAAGTTCACCGGCAGTGGTAACGACCCGGTGCTAGTAAATGCAAATAACACTTTATACATTTGGTGCTTCCGAAGGGCTTTTTGAATTTATCTTGATCAGAAATGTTTAAAGCCAGGGATGTATAAATAGTTAAATACGTAGAAGAGTAATGAGCTACACGACCAAAAGCAGCCTAAAAGGATAGCCAAATACATTATTTGTGCGTTCAAAAGCGCTTTTTTGGATAAACTTTGACCAAAAGGAGTCTTAAAAAGATATCCAAATTCATCTTAGAAGATCAACTTTGCCTGAGGAAGTTCATTGGAACTGCTTTGTTTCTGATAATTTTTTTTTTAATTTATCAACGGGGAATCAAGTTAAGAAAAATAGGATAATATATAAATCATGTCAGTACCAAAGGACTGAATATTAAGCTGATGATAACATCGGGTGAGCAGTGGTAACGATCCGGTCACCCATCTATTAAAGTTAACACTTTATACATTTTGTGCATCCGATGCGCTTTCAAGTCTAGATTCACCTTTATCAAGAACGCTAATACCAAAACATTTGAAAGCCAGGGATGTATAAATATGTAGAAAAGTTATGAGCTATATGACCAAAAGGGGCTTAAAGGCCAGCCAAATTCATTTAGTCAACTTTGCCTGACCTTATTTACTTTTAGTAATTTCTTAATTTATCACCAAAGAATTTTAGAAAAAAAAAATTTTGTAAATCATGCTTGTACCGAAGCACTAACTACTGTGCTAATGCTACCATCAGGGATTAAACGTTCACCAGCAGAGGCAGTGCTAGTAATGTTAAATGTAGTATATGAAACTTATTATATGAATCCTTGAACGGCAACAATGTTCGCGTCCAAGAGTTTAAGTTTTATTAAAACTTAAATCTGCTGAAGTAGAACAGATTTGTCTTCATAATACCAAAATCCGGGTAGGACTGTTTACACTTGTGACGTTGTCCACTTGAGACTTAGAGTAAGATAATCTTACTTTCCGGATTTAGCGCCATTCCGATTTGGCTTCAGTCAATTCCCTGTATAATCAATACTTCCGGGAGATATGTGTCAACACGAAAATAAATAGCATACAATTTTTGTTTGTGTGTTCGAATAAATCAGACATGGCAAACATTTTCATAGCTGGGTTTGGAGTCTTAAGTGTTTTATGTGCAGCTTTATTCCTGTATACAAGAACCGCAGTTCCGACAATCAGTGATGCAGCATTTAAACAGTTCCAGCGTGTCTACCTTGTCGTTTACATGCTTGCAATGGGTGAGTGCACAAAACAGGTAAAACAGATATTTGACATAACCTCACAAATCTATATTTAACAAGTTGGAAAGCTTATACGCCCTAAATTTTTGAAATTAAGATAAAATGATGGGTGTGGTGGCATCAATTAAGAACAATTACCTGAATTGGTTTATTAAATTAAAAAACAAATTAAGACTAAGAGTACATTTTTGTTATTAGCAGGTTGGGGAAGATCCTCATAAATGGGTATTACGCCCATTTATGGCTATTATACCCCAAAACAGATATCAATTTTCAGTGATAAAAATGTAAACTTTGGATTTCAAGATATTTGCTGTCATGGCACAAAGAAGAATTTTTGAGGCCAGTATATTTGTATTCAGTTCTCACCTGAGCTAAGGTCTTTAAGGAAAAATGTTGCCATTTACATGGATTTTTTTGCCATGACAGCCATTATGATGAAGTTCAAAATTCGATACTTTTATCACTTTAAATTGATCCCAATTTTGTGTATAATAGATATAAGAAGATGTGGTATGAGTGCCAATGAGACAACTCTCCATCCAAGTCAAAATTTATAAAAGTAAACCATTATAGGTCAAAGTAATACCAATAAATAGGGATAGTACCCATTTATGAGGGTCTTCCCCACCCTGATTAGGCTAACCAAAAAGTGTATGTGTTTGACCAATTTAGGTTTCTGCCTTTTAAAAATAAGGCAAGTAGAAAGGATTTTTTTCAAATAATCATGAATGAAGTAATTAGGTTTATAAAAATATAAAGGACGTGGGCTTACATCATTCAATCAGGAGAGATTTTATCTTGTGCATATACATAATATAAGCATGATAAGGAAGATTTAAGAAAAGTATTGCACTTTTCTGTAGTAATAAATTCTGTACTACAATAGGTTCTTCAAATTTTGGTAGGATATTTTTTGTTTTCATTCAAGCATGATAAGGAGGACCTTTATTATTCAGGAGTTGCAGTTAACTCTTGTTGTTTCGAACTCAGTTGACTCGAAATTTCCTGTGGTCTATATAAATATATGTATTTCGACTGCTGATGAGACAGATGAGTAAAAATTTCGGTTGACTCGAACCTGATTTACGGTCCAAAAGTTAACAATGGCATTCAAATTGCATTATTTATCTAGAACTAAGACATGTACATGTATGTCAAAACATGACCTCTGGGATTTAAATGGATTTAAGAGTTCATCTGACAATACATGTGCAATTAAATTTCTGGTCACTGACCACTGTATTGATTATGATATTCTTTTTCCATGAGTGTTTATCGAAGATTATCTTTGATCACAATGATAAATAATTTGTGATACACTGTTAAAGTTTATGAAAAATTATTTAGAATGTTTTAAAAACAATTATCCTTAATCATACATTAATGAGCTTGGTTGTGCAAGTAAGGATTAAGACTTAGTGATCAACTCAAAACTACTCAATCGGCGTCTTTCTCTTGCAGAAAAAGATTAAAAGAAAATGAAAAGAAATCTTAATTTTTTAAAATCTCTTGTATACAAGAATGAGTAATTTTGTCAACTTTAAAATAATGCTAAGATCGATTGGAAATTACTCTCTCTGCTAAAAACCACAGGAAAAAAATGTAACTGTACAACGAAATAAACAAGACGAAAAATCATAATTTTATTATATATGTATATACGTATATGCCTTCAGACTGTGCATGTATACATATATGATAAGTCAGTTACAGGACATGCATTATTTTATGAATTTCACTAGTACAAATATCTTTAATGAGTTTTTATACGCCCGTTTACGGGACGTATTATGGTATACCGTTGACCATCTGTCCGTCCGTCCATCATCAACATGTCGGACATTAATTCAAAAACACTTTAACCAATATGCATGAAACTTGAGTGAATTGTTTATATCTATTGACGTGAGCTCCCTTTCGTTTTTTATAAATTTCAGATTTACCATTTCTGAGTTTTGGGGTTTTTATTCATTAAAAAAGGGGGGATTTTCCAGTTTTCGGACAATAACTCAAAAACAATTTCACCAATTTGCATGAAACTTTTGTGAATTGTTCATATCTATCGACTTGAGCTCCCTTTCGTTTTTTATAAATTTCGGATGTACCGTTTCCGAGTTTTGGGGTTTTTATTCATTAAAAGAGGGGGGATTTTCCAGTTTTCGGACAATAACTCAAACAAAATTTCACCAATTTGCATGAAACTTTTGTGAATTGTTCATATCTATTGATGTGAGCTCCCTTTCGTTTTTTTATTAATTACGGATTTACCGTTTCTGAGTTTTGGGGTTTTTTTCATTAAAAAAGGGGGGATTTCTAGTTTACAGACAATAACTCAAAAACAATTTCACCAATTTGCAAGAAACTTTGGTGAAATGTTTTTTTCAACGACATGAGCTCCCTTTTTGATTTTTATAAATTTCAGACTATACGTTTCCTATTTATGGGGTTTTATTCATTACAAAAAGAGGGATTTTCCAGTTTTTGGACAATAACTCAAAAATGCTTTCAGAATTTTTTTTGAAACTTTGGTAAATTGATTATATCTATTTTTGTAAGCTCCCTATTGATATTTAAAAATTTTCGATTTTACATTTCAGAGTTATAAGATTTTATTTGTTTATAGTCTAACAACAGATTTACTAAGTATTGCGCAACAGCACAGTGTATTGCACAACAGCAAGAATCTATCATATAACCAATTTCAAGTTCTTTGACTACATTTATTCAGAAACCCATAATATATCAAATATTTAATTACAATCCAAATTCAGACCTGTATCAAGCTTGAATATTGTGTCTATTTTTGTCCCAACTGTTCAAGGTTGGACCTCTGCGGGTGTATCCAGCTGCGCTCAGCGAAGCAGTTTATTACCTATAAAAAGATATGTTACCTTGATTTCATGGAAATGATTTTTATCTTTCTACAATCAACAATAATTTAGTTGTTCAGCAATTAAGGGTGCTTTTCAAGACTGATTATTTAAGGATAAATGTACTATGAAATTCCAAGTTTCTATTTTGAAATTGACAGAGTGGGGTTGACACTAAAGCAAGCAATTCATTTTCTAGACTTATATTCCTTTACTTTATCTGTTGGATTTTATTTTTTACAGGTTTTGTAACAAAGCATGGATCATACTTATAATTGAATCTCAGCATCATGAGTATTAAAGTTACTTGGAAGGAAGGGAGAGAACCTAACTTTATAAAGGCTTGCAAATGGTTGGAAAATCTATCAAAAGTCGAAACAAATTTTAATAAAATAATGAATTTAATAAATGAAACTTTTAAGTATAATAATTAAAAAAAGTATATTTTTTCTTGTTTGCTTTACATGTACAGTACTGTACTTACAATCTTTGAAATGCTTGTAGTGATTTGTTTCAATAACGTCTTAATCATTTTAGACTTGATAGTAGTGTTTTATGCAGTGTATATTTCGTTACCACAAATTACTTAAAACCTTTACTAAATTCTTCCACAGATATAAAGATTTGGTTTTGAAGTTTGGTTGTACCTGTAGAAAACTTATTTCAAACGGGATTGCACATCCTCATTTTTACGGCAGTATTGTTTACCATGCCTGGAAATTTAGAAACGATCCTGGTAAACTTATCGATCCTTTAAATTAACTTATTCTAAAAGGTTACCAATTCAACACTGTAATTAGATCATTAAATATTGTTTTTATTGGTACTAATAATGATTTTTTTTATCAGTAAATTAAAAGCAAACTAAATATTATTGTTATATACATATACACATTCATGGATCTACGGTCTGTCGATACCTGTATCTTGGCATTGCACAAGGTCATGTTTTTCTCTGACTGTTTATGACGTCTTTACACTAAATCCATTGGATGTTGGATGTGTACAGATTGATAATTTATGTCTAAGATGCATGATTTTTTTTATTAGTTGTTATTGGCTTTGAACTAGCTGTCAGTAACTGCGAGTACTCTCGGATCTGTACTTAGTGTCTTTTTGTTGTTTGGATGTACAAGTACCCGGCCACGTCCACTTGTATTTGTAGTATTTGTATTTTTATCCATCTGATGAGTTAAGCCTCTTTCAACTGATTTTTATAGTTCTTTCTTATGTTGTACTGTTACACCACTGTCCCAGGTTAAGGGGAGGGTTGGGATCCCGCTTACATGTTTAACCCCGCCACATTCCGTATGTATGTGCCTGTCCCAAGTCAGGAGCCTGTAATTTTGTTGTTGTTGTTTGTTTATGTGTTACATATTTGTTTTTCGATCATTTTTTGTTCATAAATTAGGTCGTTAGTTTTCTCGTTTGAATTGTTTTACATTGTCATTTTGGGGCCTTTTATAGCTGACTGTGCGGTATGTGCTTTGCTTATTGTTGAAGGCCGTACGGTGACCTATAGTTGTTAATTTCTGTGTCATTTGGTCTCTTGTGGAGAGTTGTCTCATTGGCAATCATACCACATCTTCTTTTTTATATAAAATGAAACAAATCTCTTCTTGCTATGAGATTCAGGCCATCTTGAATTATGTCAACCACATTTAGGTCTACTTACTTCACAATGCAAGAAGCCATATGTTTAAGAGAATTGGCTGAGCAGTTAAAGGTTGTACATGTATAGCTTCTCAATACTTTTTCAAAACACCTGAGAAGTCTCAAATATTTGATAAATTTTACTTTCTCAGTGAATATCTTTTTGGTATTGCACTCTTTATCTTCTTGGAATAATTGTCTGTTGAAACTAAAGACAACTCACTTTACTGATCTCATGACTATAGTGAAAGATTTATACCCATTTCGTTAACATTTCATGTAGGATGTTGGGTTTATGGATTAAATGTACAAAGTAGTTTTGTAAGATATACATAATGACAATAAATTCATTTTTAAATGTTACCTTTATTTAAGACATTACTTGTATTTGATATTCAATTTAACATTATATGCTTACCTAAGCATGCTAAGTATTTAATTTGAAGTAAGGAGTAAAAATAGAATTAAATCTTCCTTTTCATTAAATAATTTCACACTTAATTTGTTTATAGTTACAAGAAATTACTTTTTTTAAAACTCATTCTACTGCCTTTCAGCTAGACATATCAGACCAACCCAAACATCGTCGGACCGCAGGTCATGACCTGTAAAAAACTTGAAGGTCCGCCACCATCCTGTGAACTACAGGACCTCCTGTCCTGTACATTTTTTGCAGCATGCAGTATTAAAATTGGGAAAAATGTGTTGCTATATCAAACACAAAATATTGTTTTCCTCCCGAGATCAATGAAAAACAATTGTCCTTATACTAATTAGGATTGTGGTAATACCCTAGTCATATTTATAGATATATATGGGCAACACAAATAGTAACCCAATCAGAATGCAATAATATAAAAAGCAGCCAATGAAATCACGCTTCCATTGAGTCGATTGACACCCAGTGAGATTTTCGTGTCAACTATTTTATGCATTCCCTGAAAATCGGCATTTCTAATGTGACTTCTTTTTTTAAAAGCATATTATAAGACGATTTTAAGGCTCACTGGCTTGTCTCCTACTGCCTAAACCCTTTCAATTTGAAGATTTTGAAGATTTGTATCTCGATGCATCAGTTTCCGGCATTTCTTTTTTCCCCGGTTCATTACGCATGCGCCGGAAACACATGTTAAATAAAGTCTTAAAAAATGAAGTTTCATTCAATGTGATTAAACATGCAAAAGTGTAGTACGAGATAGTAGTTTTGGTTACTTCATTTATCATAGTCAAAGCACTCAGAATGCAGGATTTCGCATCTAATTTTTCAAAATTTTTCGGGGGTGGGGGGAGGGGGGGCATGTCCCCAGAACCCCTAGCAGGTTCGTAGCGCTTCGTGCTGCTCACCAGTGATAGTAAGTAGGTCCTGTAACAGCAATGAAGGTCCAGTAAAGAATATTTGTTACTGGACCTCCTGACCTGTTCAAACAATTTAAGTTTGGCTGGGTCTGACATATACATGAATTTTGTTAGCATGTTAAGTTGTACATGTTGTATAGCTGAAAGCTAATGGAATCGAAAAATAAAAGTGCATGTATATATTTTGTGCCAAGATTATTCTTTGCATACATGTACCTGGGATGTCTAAATATTAGTCACACATGACTTTGAATTTATCAGGATTTTTTTAATTTCAAGTCATTGTAAATTAGTTTTTGTTTTACAGCCATGGACTTGAGTGTGTAGGTTCAAACAAAATCTTTGGTTAGCTTGCTTTCTAGCTGAACCGTGAAGTCATTATTAGGTTAGGTATACTACCCTCCTTTAAGAGTAGACTAGTCAGACAGATAACCAATCTATCTGTCTGTAGGACTAGACTACTCTGAAAGGAGGGTAGTATACCTTACCTAATAATGATTTCATGGTTCAGCTAGCAAGCAAGGTAACAAAAGTTGTTGATTGAACCTACACACTCAAATCATTTGGCTGTAACTATGCTGTGAAAGTTTGTTTTGTCTGAAACAATGCTACCTTTATAAGTCAGTCTACCACTTTTATCTTTATTATGTCCAGTGTTCAGAGTGTTTTTGATTTTAGTCCAAAGAATGACTACAAAATTCTGGCCAATATCTGTTTGCACCAAAAATTTATTAATTTGCACGAATATAATTGGCGTAAAACTGTTTATATTTGACAAATTTAATGGATTTTTACTTATAAATATTTAATAAATGATTGACTTGAATTGTCCTCCTTCTTTATCCTGGCTTAGCCCGAACAGTTTACAATGGCGTAGGACAGTAATTAGTAATAAAAAATCTGTCAAAATATGCTGAACACGTTTTTTTTTTGTTAGCACTTTCTGTCAGTTTGTTAATTAAACCAAAGAATGCTATTTATAAAATAAAATGCAAACATATGCCTTTCTGCTCATTTTCCTCTTTTCTTGATTATTGTTTGACAGTATTTGTGATCTTCTACAACAATGATAGGTTTTCCCATATATCAGACTCATATTTTTTGCAAGAAATGTTAGAGTTTAAGCATGTGCAAACTACTGTTCAATTTATTTGAATATTCTTAGTTTTGATCAGTATTCAGTCAAATTTTGAAGTTGAAGTTTAATTATAGTACATGTTGTGACATGTATACAAGAAAATATTGCACGATATGCTTACATTTATTGGCGCAATTTATATTATTAATAAAAAAAAATAGACTTTATCTTACTAGTAATTGATACATTTTTTTAATGGTGATTTATGCAAATTGATTGGTTCAAAACTGTTGTGTTTGTATGACAATTTGTGCAATAACTTTGTTTAAACATTTGCACAGCAGGATAGCTCATTGTATCTATTATAGTCATTTACAGTTGTATTTATTATTGATTCATCAATTTATTACATGTATGAACAGCCTTTAATTGATTTAATGTTACATTGTACTATATCATATACAATGTAATATAATGTTTAAAGATGCCTGTAACAGATGTTTATAAAGCAATTAAACAGAGATTACTAACATATTGATTGATAATGTTGACTTTTAAAACTATCAGTATCATGAATATTTAAAAAATATTCAGGCCTTCAAAATGTTGAAGTAATCAAGGTTAATCTGCTAAATTACAGCTACATGTAACATTGTAATTATGTATGTTTCTTTGACTATTTATGTTTATCTCTGAATCTAGAATATAATCCTAGAAACACTACAATGAGAAAGGTCCTGGATATTGAGTTGATGTTAACAGAATTCAGTTCTAATGAAACTATCAATATTTGATAACCATATATATCGGATTAGATATGGTCGCTATACTTTTTCAGAATACTTTGAAATGCCTTCATGACAATAAATGTCTACAAAGGTAGAATGCATACAGTTTCGTTTTATACAAGTATTTTCCAATGGCCAAAAGGGTTGTTTTTTTTACATTCCAGGATTTGAATACAGAAGATGAGCTTTATTATTTAAGAAATAATTCTTTCATGTCATTCTTTATGTTATAGATAATGCATGTTTCAAGGTTTTTCTTGTTGTATACCACAAAGATGGGTGGTAGGATTGATAAAACGAAAGACCAACCTTAATCCATGATGTGTTTATAACAAGAAAAACCTTAAACTATGCATTGTCTGACTTATAAACCATCAAAAATATTCATTTTAATGTTCATTTAAATATTTTATGGAAAAATTTGTTCAATGATTGTTTTGATTTGTAAGGTCTGGTTTAACAAAAGTGATATGATACTGATTGTTATTTATCTAAGATAGAACATGCTCCTACTTTGTCAGACCTTTAATTATTGTTGCCAATGGCACAAGCTTGTGTTTTGACCTCGACAAAAAAATTTAGAGTGTAATTTGAAAGTCAGTGACTTTAAAATTCTATTTACATTTAATTAAATTTGGCTGCCATTGTAGATAATGAACTTTCTAGTGAAATTTTTTTCTGTCATGTCTGTAATGTTTGAACTACAAAATTGAACTAAACTTCACCTAGAAAATATGCATGCCAAAGTGATATTTGATAAGTTCTTTCACCACAATTAATCATACAAAGCATACATAAAAAAAGATATATAAAAGTAAAGATTAGAAATGCTATTTTTTCTACTGTTTCACAATTTATACAAATAAAAAGTAGATGATTCACCCTATGGTCTTCCTCTAAGAATTGAATAGTCGACTCTTGCAGACCAGATAAGGGGACTTGGCTGTCATTGAACAATTTTTAGTTAATAGTTGATATGACCAGTTTGCACCACCTTTTTCAGAATTCATTCTAAGGTAGATATTACTTTAGGTACTTAATAAAAAATGGTTGAATTTCTAAATTTTCCCTGAATTACTAGCTTAATGACACTATGATATTTTTAAAACACTTCTTTTTATAATTTTATTGGGGTGTAAAAGCATTGCCCAAAGCACATTTTGTATGAAGTTTGGAATTCAAAAAATTTCTGCACGATCAATGCTTTTACAATATTATAAAATTCTAAAAATAATATTAAATTCTTATAATAACATTTTTATGCTACAACCATGAAATGAAGAGTTATATCAAACTTTAATATATGTTTTTCTTTTCGTTTGTTTTTCTATGCATTGTTTTAACATTGTCAATTTGTCATGGATAGCACGTGCATTCATTTGTCTGTTATATTTTAAACGGATATAAAATATGATTTTTGGAGTGCCTCACAATTATTGTCAGCCAATCAGAATTAAGGATTCTAATGAAACATACATGTAATGTAATTATTGATCTCCTTAAGTTGTAGTTTTTTTAGAGTTATACATGATGTCTTTTGATAGAATTACATTTTTTTCTTTTAAGCTGGTGACTGGTTACAAGGACCTCATGTGTATGCTTTGTATGAGAGTTATGGGATGACAACACACCAGATTGAAGTCCTGTTTGTTGCAGGCTTTGGATCCAGTATGATATTTGGAACTATTATTGGTTCAATAGCTGATAAGTTGTAAGAATTTACTATCAATGAAATTTTTGTTTTGATTTTTGATTCTCTTTAATGTTTTATATACTAGTATTTGGAGTTTCAAGCTATAAGTCTTAAGTTTGCCTGATAAAAGTTAGTTCAGAAACACTTGTCCTGTAAACAGAAATTGGTGTCAAACACTTATATTGCACAATTTTATTTAATATATTCAAGATTCGGGTTGTTAGATGTTTCTTCAAAACCTTTAAAGGTAAAGGTTAAAGTCATTTTGCCATTCTTTGCAGTATTTTTCTATTGTGGTTAGAGAGAAAAGTGCGGTAAATGTCAGTAAGACATCAAAGTAAATATAGAAATAAGGAGATGTGTTATTATTGCCAATGAGACAACTTGTTCAGATGATGTGGGTGTGATTACATTTATTCTAGACTATTGCATAAAACATTTAACAGGGACGACTAATTCTCTGACACCACTACCAAATCCTAATAAACTAAAGCATTAAAACCTGAAGAGACAGCAACAACCACATGCAATTATTTTAATAGTAGATTTGCATGTAAACTAATATATCTGGTCATAATGCAGGTTGTTTTTTTTTAATTGAAATAGAAAGCTGAAGACCTATATACATGTATTAAAAAAGTGCAAGCTTATGACATAACAACTTGCACACATATTTTGAAGTGTATTCAGGCATAAGTTTTATAGGGGGACAGAAGCAGTTAAGGAAAACAAATATATGTGGAACATGTAGATTACAACTCGTGTTTAATAACTGTCTGTATACCTATTATTTTTGCATTTTCTCTTTACAGTGGCAGAAGAAATAACTGTATTATCTATGGTATACTGTATGGTGGAGCTTGTATAACAAAGGTATGGTGTTCTTTAAGGCCACTATGACAAGTTTCACTTCATACACTTCAACAAAATTGTTTCGTTGCTAGATATTTACTTTTGGGTTTAGGTGCTTGCCAAGAACCCACAGTAAACAGATGTATCTTCTTGGTGCCGAAATTTCTGCCATTACTGAATATTGCCTCAAGAACCTTAGAATAACATTTTATAACCAACCCTAACTGAGGATGACATATATGTATTTCATAGAACAACTTGAAAGTATGACACACAGAACAAAATAAGCTTTTCAAATTGTCTGGGACAAACATAGAAATTGAAGCTTTTTTATTATATTCTTAATATGGATTTAAGTGATGACAAATCCATATGTTTTTATCATTCCGATTAATATGAGATAATGATCTGTTTGTATTTCAGCATTTTAACAGTTTCTGGGTCCTGATGTTGGGACGTCTGTTGGGAGGCATTGCCACTTCAATCCTGTACAGTGCTTTTGAATCCTGGATGATATATGAGCATACCAAGGTAAATTATTGTATTTTATATTATACATAAAAATAAAACAGGTTTGACTTGTAACCTTTTAGATAACAAAAATACTATACATTTTAAATGAATGTTCCAAATGTTGTTGTCAAAAGAAAATACACAGAACCTAATTTGAAGTTTTTTTTCTATAATGTTTAATTTATTACAAGGTTAGTATTTGAAAACAAATTTGATAACTTAACAAAACCTATGTAGAACATAACGGAACATTCTTTATTTCAATGTTTAATTCAGAGTTTTTGTTGGGTGTAAAAATGAAGTAAACATAATTTTATTTTACAGAGAGGTTTTGAACAGGAATCATTGGGTACAGTATTCAGCCATGCTGTATTGGGAAACTCCTTGGTAGCCATCGTAGCAGGTTTGGTGGCACAATTCTTTGCAGACAGATTTGGATTTGTGTAAGTATCAAGAATTAGAATTTGATTATAAATGTAAAATGATAAATAAAAAATTCCTTGAGAAAAACTAATTTCTATGAGTAGAGCTCACAAATTCTTACTCCCCTCTCACATGTACATACATATGGTAGTCCATGTTTTTCTATGTGAAACCTTAAAAACAATTCAGAATCAGAATTTCAGATCAAACAATAAAATAGGAGGTTCTTAATGTCATTATGAGAAAGATTCTATGAAAGTTTCATGAAATCCAGTCCCAAGTATGAAAGACTTCAAAGATATTTCACCAACTAAAAAAGATACTTCCATTACTAAAATTACTGAAATCCCTTCTGATTTTATTGTCAGCACGAAAAAAGCATGATACATCATGACGTTTAACTATATGTGATTTTGAATGGAATGAAAATGTTTTTAATGCATAAAAATAAAGCCGTGATGAACAGAGTGTGAAACTTGTTAAAACCCAAACATTTTTAAACTGGCAACAAAAAATATGACGCCGGTGATTTTTCTGGCAAAATGTTTTAGAAGCCCTTGCAGTCCATTTTAATTTTTATGGATGTTGCTTAATTCTGCCAATATTTCCTTTTAATGATATTGAATTTTGTTCCTTTATTCCAGTGCACCATTTGATGTGGCATTGACAGTTTTAATGATCATGACAGTTATTGTTGTGTTCACTTGGACAGAAAACTATGGTGATAGAACTACAAATATTGGACACAGTTTTTCCGAAGCCTGGAAATCTATAAGAACAGGTGGGTTATCTCCCCTGTGAATATGTATGTTTAATTAAAGTTTTGGTTATGTTCACCTTAAAATCTATACATAAAGCAAGAATCTACCTAAAATTTCACTTAAATAAAATTGAGAATGGAAATGGGGAATATGTCAAAGAGACAACAACCCGACCAAAGAACAGACAACAACCGAAGGCCACCAATGGGTCTTCAACGCAGCGAGAAAATCATGCACTGGAGGTGGTCCTCAGCTGGCCCCTAAATAAAATTGTGTACTAGTTCAGTGAAAATGGACGTCACACTAAACTCCAAAACATATAATTGAACTAAAATTAAAAAACATACAAGACTAACAAAGGCCAGAGGCTCCTGACTTGGGACAGTCGCAAAAATGCGGCGGGGTTAACACATGTTTTGTGAGATCTCAACACTCCCCCTATACCTCTAGCCAATGTAGAATAAAGAAACACATAGTAATACGCACAGTAAAACTCAGTTCAAAAGAAGTCCGGAGTCCGATGTCAGAATAGGTAACAAAAGAAACCAAGCAAAATGACAATGATACATAAATGAACAAAGGACTACTAGCAGTTACTGACATGCCAGCTCCAGACCTCAATTAAACTGATTGAAAGATTATGTCTTCATCATATGAAAATCAAGTACAATCCTACAAACCATAGTTGTAAACAAAATAAGAAATAGTCCTGGGAAAATTTGATTGCTTAATTGTTGCTTGCTTGACATCCTTTGTAAATATTTAAGGGATAAAATGAAGAAGGCAGATTTAAAAATTACAATTTTTATACGACCGCAAAAAAATTTTTGTGGTCGTATATTGGTATGACGTTGGCGTCGTCGTCGTCGTCGTCGTCCGGCGTCGTCCGAAGACACATTGGTTTTCGCACTCTAACTTTAGTTTAAGTGAATGGATCTCTATGAAATTTTACCACAAGGTTCAATACCACAAAAGGAAGGTTGGGATTGATTTTGGGGGTTATGGTACCAACAGTAAAGGAATTAGGGGCCAAAAAGAGGCCAAAAATAAGCATTTTTGTAATTTCCAGACATAACTTGTGTGTTAGTGTATGGATCTCTCTGACATTGTACCACAAGGTTCCATATCACAAAAGGAATGCTGGGATCGATTTTGGGGGTAATTGCCACAAAATTTTAGGAATTAGGGGCCAAAAAAGGGGCAAAAAACAAGCATTTTTCTAGTTTCATGACAATAACTTGTGTGTAAGTGTATGGATCTTTCTGAAATTGTACTACAAGATTCCATATCACAAAGGGAAAGCTGGAATTGAGTTTGGGGGTAATTGCCAAAACGTTAAGGAATTTGGGGCCAAAAAGGGGCCAAAAATAAGCATTTTTCTAGTTTCCAGACAATAACTTGTGTTCAAGTGTATGGATCTCTCTGAAATTGTACTGCCATGTACCATACCACAAAGGGAAGGCTTGGAATGATGATAGGGGTAATTGCCTCAATATTTTAGGAATTAGGGGCCAAAAAGGGGCAAAAAACACATTTTTCTAGTTTCCAGACAATAACTTGTGTTGACAAGTGTATGGATCTCTCTGAAATTGTACTGCAAGGTACCATACCACAAAGGGAAGGCTGGGATTGAGTTTGGGGGTGATGAATCATAAGGGGGTTCAAAAAATTTGGGGGGTGGGGATTTTTTTTTTTCCTTTTTTTTCTTTTTTTTTTCTTTTTTTTTCTTTTAAAATTTTCCATTTTAAGTTGGTTATTTCTGATTTATATTTAAAAGCAAATAATAATGATATGGTAGGAGATACACACCAAACAGGATGTGTAAATTATTATATAATAAGTATTGTGCAATAGCAAGAAATTTTCAATTGCACAGTATTGCACAATAGCAAGAAATCTTCAATTGCACAGTATTGCGCAATAGCAAGAAATCTTCAATTGCACAGTATTGCACAATAGCAAGAAATATCCAATAGCACAATATTGCGCAATAGCAAGAAATTGTCAATAGTACAGTATTGCGCAATAGCAAGAAATATTTAATTGCACAGTATTGTGCAAAAGAAGATACTTCGTATAAATTGCTTATTTCTTGACCAATTTCAATGGGGTTTTATTCTTGAATTCTTGGGGTTCTTTAATATGCTGAATCTAATCGTGTAATTAGTTTTTGGATTTTGGGCCCCTTTTTAAATTGGTCCACATTGAGGTCCAAAGGGTCCAAAATTAAACTTTGTTTGATTTCATCAAAAATTGAATTATTGGGGTTCTTTGATATGCCGAATCTAACCGTGTATTTAGATTCTTAATTTTTGGTTCCGTTTTCAAATTGGTCTACATTAAGGTCCAAAGGGTCCAAAATTAAACTTAGTTTGATTTTAACAAAAATTGAATTCTTAGGGTTCTTTGATATGCTGAATCTAAACATGTATTTAGATTTTTGATTATGGGCCCAGTTTTCAAGTTGGTCCAAATCGGGGTCCAAAATTAAACTTTGTTTGATTTCAACAAAAATTGAATATATGGGGTTCTTTGATATGCTGAATCTAACCATGTACACGTATTTAGATTTTTGATTTTTGGGCCCCGTTATCAACTTTGTCCACATTGAGGTCAAAAGGGTCCAAAATTAAACTTTGTTTGATTTCATCAAAAATTGAATTCTTGGGGTTCTTTGATATGCTGAATCTAACCATGTATTTAGATTTTGGATATTGGACCAAAATAGGTGAATGTCCAATTTAAAATTTTTAAGTTCTTAGACCACATTCATTCTGTGTCAGAAACCTATGCTGTGTCAAATATTTAATCACAATCCAAATGCAAAGCTGTATCAAGCTTGAATGTTGTGTCCATACTTGCCCCAACTGTTCAGGGTTCGACCTCTGCGGTCGTATCAAGCTGCGCCCTGCGGAGCATTTTATTATATTGTTAACAGTGATATATGTTTAAATTATTTGAATTTATCTTTAATTAAAGATTTTAAAATATATTAATTCTTTAACAGAATCTATTTTATAATACTCCCTCACTGGTGTACATCTATTTTCTGTCGTTTTCCTAAAATGCTAATTTCAATCCATTAAAATGAATCTTTCATAAACTATTTTTTATTTCAGATCCAAAGATATTATGTTTAGGAATGATCCAGTCCTTGTTTGAAGGATCTATGTATATATTTGTCCTAGAATGGACCCCAGCACTTACCCCATCAGAGCCCAGTACAACAGGGACTGCAAGGCGACTGTTAGCAGCATCATCTGAAACCATACCTCATGGTCATATATTTGCTGGTTTTATGGTATGTCTTCATTTGTATATCATATGAATAAAATAAAAGATGTTGGATAGACATGAACGGGACAGTAACCCAACTACACAAAACCCAACAACATCTAGAGCTAATCAATCACTCTTCAACAACAGGCAGGTTTCTATAGAATAAATAAAGTTTTAAAATGCTTATACTAAAAAGGCTATGAATAAAATGAAAAGACTACTAAGATCTGCCATCAACGCCAAATTCCACAAATGACAAAAGACAACCTCTGGTGAGGTTCCTGACTTATGACAGGCATATGATCATGTGGTGGATTAAACTTGGTTTTTTGTCTAGCAGCTTTTGTCGCAGAAAGCTCGACATAGGGATAGTGATCCGGCAGCGGCGTCGGCACCTAACTTCTTAAAAGCTATATATTTTCCAAGGTGGAAGACCTGGATGCTTCATACTTTGTATATAGATGCCTTATGTTATGAAGTTTCCGTCTGTCATATGTCCATTGTCCTTGACCTCATTTTCATGGTTCAGTGACTACTTGAAAAAAAAGTTAAGATTTTTTGTAAAGTTAATTTCTCTCTTATTATGAGTAATAGGATAACTATATTTAATATGTGCGTACCTTGCAAGGTCCTCATGCCCGTCAGACAGTTTTCATCTGACCTCGACCTCATTTCATGGATCAGTGAACAAGGTTAAGTTTTCGTGGTCAAGTCCATATATCAGATAATATAAGCAATAGGTCTTCTATATTTGGTGTATGGAATGATTTTAAGGTGTTCATGTCCAACTGGCAGGTGTCATCTGGCCTTGACCTCATTTTCATGGTTCATTGGTCAATGTTAAGTTTTCATGGTTTAGTTTGTTACTTAGATACTTTAAGCAATAGGTCAAATATATTTAATGCATAAATTGATTGTAAGGTGTACATGTCTGTCTGGCATGGTTCATCTGACCTTGACCATATTTTTATGGGTTATTGGTCAATGTTTAGTTTTCCTGTTTAAGTCTGTTTCTTAGAAACTATAAGCAATAGGTCAACTATATTTGGTGTATTGAATGATTGTAAGGTGTACATGTATTTCCGGTTTGGTTTATCTGACCTTGACCTCATTTTCTTGGATCATGTTAAGTTTATGTGATACTTTTAGTAAAGCTTAATAGTTAGGACTATCAACATAAAATCAATGGTCAGTAAAGAAGGTGAGACATTTCAGTGTGTGCACTCTTGTTTTAGATCTCACTCATCCCCATTTCAATATCAATCTGTAGACTTACAAAAAGTACATAAAAGAAATACCCTGGTACAATTAAAATTAATACAGGAAAGAAATTTATTATTTCATATTGGTATAATGGGTAGCAAAAACACAAGTTTAAACAAAACAATAATAAACAATAAATATCCTATCAAAACATATAAAAACAGTATACAAGGGAATCATTTAAAAAAAAACAACATCAGTATGTTATATGATTGTTGATTTCTTGCTGATTTTTAATGCCCCACAAAAAGGCTATATCATTGCAAAATAACATGAAATGGGTCTTAAGAAAATGAAATGAAAAGGGGTGGAATGGGACAAAAAAGGGAAACAACTTATGACTGCCACAGGAAATATATGGAGAATTTGATCTTGTCAGAAAATGAAATCTCAACATCAGTCCCACTTAGCCTGTGAAGGATTTTAGAAAGCTTATTTGTACTGGATTGTTGTCCAACAGTACACATTTATAGAAAAAAAAAACAATAGACCCCTTGGTGGCCTTCGGCTGTTGTCTGCTCTTTAGTCGGGTTGTTGTCTCTTTGACATATTCCCCATTTCCATTCTCAATTTTATTATTTAAAATCTGGCCAGTAGTTGTAATATTTATTTAACCAGCTTATTAATTTCAAATTTTGCAGACAGCCAAAAAAGTTATGTAATTGATTTTTTGTAGGTTTCCATTATGATAGGATCTTCATTATTTAAGTTACTGTCAAAGTATTCATCTGTAGAATCTTTCATGAGGTAAGATATGTAATCCGAGATGGAAGATATGCCTATTCATTTAATTAGTATGTGACAATCACAGAAACACATAAGAGGTGTTGACATGAATTTTGAAATTCTTTATTATACAAACTGAACACCTCAAAACAGACATTCAAATGAGTAAAAAGGGTATTTAAGCACATACATACTAATTTAGACAATACAGTAGTAGATTAAAAACTTTTATGACAATATAAGAGGAGCATTAGGCCCTCCTCCCATGAAGATTTTGAAAAGTTAGCAGGTATGGAAACACTATTGATAGTATACTTACTATCAGTATATTTTAGTGGAACATGCTGTATAAGTTGAATGAAACATGAGTATTAGATTTAAAATGACATTGAATGTCCTAGGAAATTAAAATTTGTTATTTAATGAGTACAAAAGAATGAGAAATTAACAAATTTTATTGATTTTATAACAGTACTAAAATGAATGGGATAAAAGGAGACTCCAAAAAATGTCTTCGCCAACTTTAACATTTGTTTGGAGCATATCAAAATTTTATGGCAGATTAAAAGCTTTATACAGTTTCTCTTATCAGATTGAATAAAATTAATTCTAAACTCGTATCTTATGCCCGTCTTTAAACTTTTGTATTGTTGATCATTATGATTATTTCCTTTTGTGCTAAATTTGTCTTTATTTGTTTTCCAGATTTGTATTAGTAATAGCATCAGCATCATTAGCCACTCCCATCATTTTTAAAGGCGTAAGTATTACCTGATGAACAATTAAAGGCAAAAAATTACATATGATTTTACAAGTGACTAAGACACACACTTTATTTATACTTGTTTAGGGATCAGAATAATTCACTTTTTTGCATTGAAAAAAAATAAATAGATTAAGTAAGTTTCATTTTAATATCTGCTGGTCAGAAGTCAGTTAAAATTTTCCTTCAAATAAGCTTGTCACAAACACTTAGTTCTTTAAAACTTTCATTCAGCACTATTTTGTTGACTAAAGACTAAGCTTCCAGTCATATCAGAGAAAAATAAGCACATGTCAAAACTATATTAAAAAATAATTATAACAGGAAGGAAAAAGGACAACTAATGAGTACTTAAAACCCATCTGAAAACAAGGAGCCAATGATGTCAGTACATATTTTTGGTTTTACAAAGTGTAGACATTTATGATTGCCTATAATTGCTTACATCCACTATATTTGAACTTTGGTGGATAGTTGTCTCATTGGCAATTATACCTCATCTCCTCATTTTTATATTTGTAAAAGTATGTGATAATGCTGCAAGGCAAGAGATATCTCTGTTAACAGCTGATTTATAGAATTATATTTTATTTTATGTCTAGAATCAATTGGTAGTATTTATTGGTTTCCTGGTATTTGAGTGCTGTGTAGGAATATTTTGGCCATCTCTGGGGCAGATGAGAGGAAAATATGTACCAGAGGAAAGTAAGCAATAGACTTTTGTCAAATCTTATATGCTTTTAACGTAGCGAAGTTGGTTATGTTTTGTTTTAGTTTTGTAGTTTGTAACTAGGTTTATAATTTCAATCATACACCTTGTAACACAATTCAAAATACCTTACTGGATGAAATTGTAGAGTTTTACTTGTTCACAACATATCAGATGATGTAAACAATGTAAAGTGCAAATTTCAGTTATGCATCAACTTAAAAAGACAGACAAAATATTTATTTTTGCTTTAGCCTTACTGACCCTAGAAAGTTTATAGTTGACAGATATCAAGTATTATTGTATTGCTTTTAGTCTGAAAAAAACAAACAATCAAAAGTCTGAAAATTACAAGAACTTGGTAGCTGATGAACACCCTCTCTAGTACTAATCTAAAAATAATATATGGTTAATTCTGAGATTTTTTTAGTTTGTATGATATTCTTTAGTCTATAGAAGACAACATTTTTGGTAGTTAAGAAAAAACAAATATTTTGACAAGTTACAATTATACAGCTTTCTGATATGTGAATTGCAGTTTTGGTAAAGACAATGCATATTTACATAATACAGTTATCACTTCAATTCATACTGACCTAAATTCAGTATAAAGGAAAATGATTTTTATTTTACAGCCAGAGCCACCATAATGAACTTCTTCAGAATTCCATTGAACATGATAGTAGTTGCCATTTTACTACAGGTGTGTATTTTATACTTTATCTAACCTTGACTTTTAGAATTCTGATTATTATTTATTTTATTAGTAGTAGCATAGGGAAATATTTTGGTCTGATTTCAAATTAATTCTTTTAAGTTTTCACATGCTAAGAATTATAAAACATCAAATTTAATTTCATTAAACCAGAAATAATCCTTGCGACTTCTGAATTTGATGTCTGATTTATTGTAATTGTGATATACATGTATCAAGACATCCAACTCCATGTGATTATGATTAAAATGAAATAAATTTTGTCAGAAAAATGCAGGAAAGAAAATATTTTCATTATAAAGTATTGTTTTGTTTGAAGCTTGTCATTCATCACTTGAAACATATATAGTCTTTATAAACTATAAAACTGTTAATTAACTAGATTTTTGAATTTGATAGGTGATCATTGACCTTAAGACTGTTGAACAAAAGTAACATAATTAATTGGTCAGTATGAGATGAGAAATACAGTTGAATTGGACCATTAATATGGGATTTCCTTTGATATACCTAAATAAATAAATCAATCAGGCTAATAGAACATTTTCTGTATACTTTTATTTTGAATGAACAATGGTCTGAAAGATTTGTATAAATTTGTCTTTTTTTCAACAGGTTAAAAAATTAAAAATGTGTTCCTCTTTTTTTTTTTTTTTTAGAATTTACAGATGAAGGTGATATTCCAGTGCTGTGTAGGATTTCTATTTTTAGCTGCATTGTCACAACAATGGCTATTCAGGTATGAATCATATGTAATAGACTTTTTTGTGCTGCCTTTATGGAACACTTTTGGTGTTGCTTATTGGTACATGTAGTAGATAGATTTTCTTTGGAATCTAATTTAATGATGGTGTTACATTTAAGATATGGGTTGAAATTTAAAAAAAAACAAGGCACTCATGAAGGGATATTAACTTGCAATTACATAGTCAATAAGCCCTGGTAATCACATCATCAAAAATGCCTTTCTAAACTTTTGGTAACTTGTGTTAGAAAATATTCCTGAAGTTGATGTTTTGTATTAATGAAATAATAGGGTGTTATAGAATAATGCTTACTTAATATGTCCAGCAATAGTGTTATTAAAAAACCCTTGACAGTGGCCTCACAACTAGTACTTTTAGCATCATACTTCTGTTTAGGGAACCTTAGATACTGTTTGAATTTTCGATTATGGACTCAACTCAATATATTGTAATAATGTAACATTTGTCTGAATCCTTCTGCAATCTTATTATGTTGTGTACAGACAGTAAGAAGATAGCTTCATTTACAGGAATTATATGTTAATTAAACAGAGGCAGTAGGTATACTTTACAAATTGGATCCTTGTTGGGATTTCAAATTTAGAATATACTGTAAAAAGTTGTACATTGTAGCATTTTGTACTACAGAATTTAGTTTGCCATGCAAGATTTATTACGGTACTTCAAGCTAGAAATAATGGCAAATGATATATCCATAATGCTTGTCTACATTGCTAATTTGTTATTATTGACAAAATTCTAAAACTTGCAAGGCAAAATGGGTGTCTGTCCATAAATGTGCTCAATGTTCAGCTTCATACGGTACCCTTGGTTCAGACAGACCCATACAGTACCCTTGGTTCAGACAGACCCTGATCTCAGAATCCTAGTTTTAAATTTGTTTGCTACTCTTTCTTGGTTCTTTCTCTCAAACTGTTAAAGTTATTGATGGTAAACATCCTTTGGTTTTTGTTTGCTTTACTATATATCTTTGTTTTGGGGTATTATATATAACTTTAAGAATAAATCTAATTTTAAGCTTTGAAATGTTTGAGATGATTAAAACAAAACAAGTATTTTGGTTGAAAATAAGGTTGATTAACTCATGTGGGTGTAAGGTTTGGGGCATGCATAATCAGGTGGAATTATGGCAGATGCATGTATGATGTTTTTTTTATCAAGGAGACTGGAGAAACAAATTGTTTGACTATATACAAAATTCAAACCTCCACAGAGACTAAAACAATCATCACTTGAAATATCTGTCTCCAAGTTAAATTTCAGAAGTTCTAACATTGACTATTCTGCAGACATTTATGGCCATTATTGATCACATTCATTCTTGTGATACAGGTTGTACCAGGAAATTAATTACTATTCTTGCAAAACAGATTGACAAATACTAAAATGGTAAACATAAGTAGGCATCCAATATGTGTCCATAACTCTAACAGCATGTGTTGCAATACAGAGTGACTAGAAGTTAAAAAGCATTCAATATGTGCCCCTTACTCTTGTAGCATGTGTTTCAATACAGACTGACTAGAATTTAGATAGTACATCTAATATACCCAATCCATGCAGGCTTCCTATCTGTGTCCACAAACTTACCGTATGTGTAACAATACAATTTAACTAGAACTAAAAAAGTTTTACCGATAGTAAACCCAATACAGGCAGACATCCTCAATGTGTTCACTAACTCAACTGAATGGATAACAAAACAGATTTACCCTTACTGTTACCGGTGTTATGTGTAAACCGAAATCATGCAGGCATCCAAATCTGTATCCACTGACATCCATCTTACAGGACTGTAAAACAAAAATCAATGCATGTATCAGGAAGGCAAAGGACAGAAAACTCACTATTAGGCAGTTGTCAAATCTGTTTCAACTGACAGCATGTCTTACGATACAGTTTGACATGTTCTGTAAAGTGTAAATTTGATATCAGTGAGACATCCAATATGTGGTCCGAGTACACAGTTATTTTCCCCTATCTGTCTATTATAACATAATGATAAATAAAAAAAATCCCACCTGCGCTTTTCTAACAAGATTTGGTGTACATAAAGTTTGGCATTAACCACAAAACATATCAAAAAATTAGAAAACTTCATCGGCTCATTTTCTCTTGGCAACACAAAACACAAGGACACCAGTATGGGTTAAGCCAGAGAGCTTCCGAAAAGGGGAAATTACACCTATGTTTACCCAACCAAATCACTCATTTCTGCTCAAAATATCAAAAAGAAATTTTACAGAAATTATCTTAGATGACTTTACATTCACATAAAAGCAAAAAAAGGGGAAAAAATTCAAAGGAAAGGCAAAAAAAAAAATTAAGAAAAAATATACTGAAATTAAAGGGAACTATATTTGAGGACAACGAAAATTGAGGGAAGATAACTGTGTACCCGGACCTAATAGACCCTTTTTAGTTATCCAAATGAAATAAAATTTTATATTTATTAACTTTAATATATATCAAGACTGCATACCAAATTTCAGACCAATCGGACAATACTTGCACCAGCAATGACATTTCTTTAAACACCTACCCTCATACCCAAATTTCAACAGTTTTCCTAGCATGAATTTGTCATTTTCCTAAAGACACCCACTTTATCAAAAGATTCATAACTTTTTTATTAGTGCAAGTTTTTAAAAAAATTAAAGTGATTCTGAAAGGTAAATCATTACACAAATTTAATCTAAGATAAAAATTCCCAAAATCAGAATGGTTCATGGTGCAATTAAAGTTAATTTTTCATTTTTTGTTGTAAATCAGTGAAATCCCAACTTAGAATACTTTTAAAATTCAATTAAAATTTCAAAACTCATCCCTAAATTGTGAGAATTGCATTAAAAAATTCCAAATTCATTCTAGAATAAACAAAATGAAACTTTATGGGGGTCTTGAATAACCTTTAGGCTAAATTACCTGTATATTCAACACCCCCTTTACATCATCTGCCCAAGGCTAAATATGAATGTAATAAAAAAATTTAAAATGATATAAAATCCTTATTTCTTTGAATATTGAGATGAAATAAAGTGTTTTGGAAAGGTTAAGAAGTGAGGAAATAATTGCAATTGAAAAATTTAATAAATAGTACAGTTTTTTTTTTCATTTGTTTTTTTTCTTAATTTGAAAAAAAATCAACAAAAAAATTCAACAAAAATTCTCAAAATCACATTTTCTGAACAAAACAACTTTTAAAATTTGCCTAAATTAATGTTGTTTTGAAATCTAAACAAGGAAAACAAAATATTTCCCATTAAAAAGGCCAAACAAAGGCATTTTCTTTGAAGCAGACCAAACCCTTTGAAGTTAAAAATCACTTTCTTTAATCCCACAGCTAAAAATAGATCAAAACAATAAACAAAAATGATTGACAGCATCATTAATCCAATTAAAAATCAGCATCAAAGTTACACAATGCAAAAAAGTATAAAAACTAACAATTTTGAGGTCTGTCATCCAATTTTCATTCGACGCTTTACACTGCACCAGAATATTCTATTTATCATCAAAATGTTTCCAAAGGGTTCCCCTCCATTCAACAAGGGCCTTATTGGACTGCAGAGAGGGAGAGTTGCACCTGGTTACAAGTTCAAGCATAACAGTACGCCATGGAATAAAGTCCCTGTCTTACAGCTGTCCACATCACCAGATCCAGAAGAAAACCATGCTCCTGCTGTTGAAATGAATGTTGAACAGATAGCTATCCTTGACGAATCCCCATGCACTTCTTCTACTTCACCTGCAGACAATGACAGCAAAAGGACTCGTTCCCACCTACTGGTTCCATCAGCTGACCTGAAAACAGAAAAAGAGTGGTGTTCAATATCTGGTATGAGGTTCGTCGACCATGAAGAGATGATGAAGATGCTCAACACAGTTATAAATGTCCATACAAAGAAGTTTAGGCACTGTAAAAATCCTGAAATACTAGCACACAGACAGGAAAAATGGGGAGTCTGCTGGAAATATACACTTAGATGCAAGAACTGTACCTACATGAGTCCAGTTATGAAGCTGTATAAGGAGATTGTTACAAATAAACCTGGTACCAACCCTGGAGCACCCAATGTAGCAGTAGCAGCAGCAATACAAGACTGTCCAATGGGGAGTACTAAACTCCAGGAGTTACTTGCCAGAATGGACTGTCCTCCTCCTTCAAGAACCAGCATGCACAGAATGACCCACAATGTTGGAAAAGAACTGGTACAACTTAATAATAGAGATATGGCAGAAAACTGGAGATTGTAAAGGCAAAAAATCAAGATAGGGGACTTGCAGAGAATGAAATCAATGTCACAGTCGACGGAAGGTACAACAGTCAGACAATAACCAGTCGAAAGAAACCTGGACTAAATGCTACCCAAGGTTTTGCACTTGCCATAGAGACAACAACAGAAAAGAAATATATTGTGGCATCATTTGCCCAGAATCAGATGTGCTGGAAAGGGGCCTGGTTGAGAGGAAAAGGATTTAAAGTGGAATGTCCCAATGGTCATGAAGACTGCACCGCAAACCTACACAGAGCAGCTCCATTGTCAGAGTATGAGATGGGAAAAGAAATTGGTACACAGCTTGCTCTTCAAGACATCCTGGTGAAGAACGCCACAACTGATGGAGATGGACGGGCAGCTAAAGGAATAGACGATGCAACTAGAGCCCTACATCCTATGTGGAAAGTGGAACGACTAGCCGACTATGTACACCTTGGACAGTCACAGTTTCGGGCATCACTGAGAGCTAAGTTCAGTGAATCCATGTTCTATGGGCGTACGAAAGAGATAAGGATGGAAATGAAGAAAGCGTTCAGCCAAGATGTGAAGTGCAGGAGCTCAATGATCATTGGACAGCTAATGGAGAAGCACAACAAAGTAACAGAAGATGTGTGTAAAGACTTACCCAAAGTCCTGGAGGCTACACTCAGATGTTATGATGGTGACTGCTCCATGTGTAAACAGTACTCTGTAGTTTGTACCGGCGATGAGGGTTATAACTGGTGGACTCGGTCCAAGTATCTAGGATGCTACAATATCACTGTCCTGCAAATGGATGAAAAAGACAAATTATTACTACAAGAAATATTGAAGATGAAGCTAAGTGAGCAGGCATTAAACAGCATGAAGTTATATGACACCACCAATAAGAATGAAGGTGTTCATAGAGCCCTCAGTGTCAACTTACCGAAGAATGTTATTCATTCAAGAGATATGCAAGCAAGATTGGCATCCGGAATACACCGTAACAACAACAAGCCAGGAACATCAGCCAAAATGAAGTGTGAACACCTTGGGATTAATTTGTCGGAGAGCAGTATACAGTTTTTGAGCAAAATGGACAGCGACTACACTTACAAACAAGAATATGAAAAAAAACCTGAAGTTAAACGTAGACGGCTAACTCGGAGTGGTGAAAAAATATTGGAACACAGAGAAGCTAAGCAAAGCCGAAAGAAGTGTGATGTTTACAGAAAAGGACAGTAAGACCCGGTTCCTGCATTGCTAAGCCATAGTAAAAACTGTAAAAGGCCACTTCCACCTGCACCTTAGATGACAGCCAGCCAGCCAGCCAGCCAGCCAGCAGCACATAATATTAACCAAAGGTCCTTTTAAGGACCAACCATATCTTTCAAAAAGAAGTTTGAAATTGTTGTCTAAATCAATAAAATAATTAAAAGATAGAAAAATAAATAAATAAATAAATAGACCTTAAAAGATAAATAATATAAATAATACCAATATTATTGTTTGCCATCTTCAAGTGTACCATGCAAGGTGGCAAAGGATCTGGGTGCCCAAGACAATGACCACACGAAATGCAGGTTTTTCTACTGTTGTTGAAGCCGTGTGGCTCTAACACAAGATGATCAGCATTTATACATTTTGTGTTGTGGCACAGGTGCGAGACATCAAAATTAGGTAGTTGGAAATTAAGATGCCTTATCATGAACGCAAGTCTGTGTACATGCATTTGTTTCCACCCGCCGGCATTGGGAAGCTTGCAATTTATCACCCCATATTTTCTATTTGGTGTACAAGCCCCAGTCCAAATCAGACAATGTCCATTTTGGCCAGGGGCTGAATTTTCTGACAATTTTCTTGAATATTTTTGTATTATTCCCTCCATTAAACTTTAAAGAACTTTTTTTACATTTGTATGTGTAGTAATTTGCCCCAAAAAGAGAAAAATTATGAACCCCTGTTAGCAAAATTGAATCAAAAGTGTCAACAAGTAAAAACATTTTAACCAGAAGGTCAAAAATTTTTTTTTTTTGCAATTTAAAATTTTTTGTTCATATTTTCTATAAATAAACAATAAATTATCTTTAAATTTCAATTTTGAGGCAAATTGAGCAAATCAGGGGGCCACAAAGTCGATTTTTAGATAAAGTGGGTTCTGCCTCTTAGGTCCGAGTACACAGTTATTTTCCCCTATCTGTCTATTATAACATAATGATAAATAAAAAAAATCCCACCTGCGCTTTTCTAATAAGATTTGGTGTACATAAAGTTTGGCATTAACCACAAAACATATCAAAAAATTAGAAAACTTCATCGGCTCATTTTCTCTTGGCAACACAAAACACAAGGACACCAGTATGGGTTAAGCCAGAGAGCTTCCGAAAAGGGGAAATTACACCTATGTTTACCCAACCAAATCACTCATTTCTGCTCAAAATATCAAAAAGAAATTTTACAGAAATTATCTTAGATGACTTTACATTCACATAAAAGCAAAAAAAGGGGAAAAAATTCAAAGGAAAGGCAAAAAAAAAAATTAAGAAAAAATATACTGAAATTAAAGGGAACTATATTTGAGGACAACGAAAATTGAGGGAAGATAACTGTGTACCCGGACCATGTGTCTGGTGATAGCAAGTCTTACAAAACAGATTGCCTTGTATTGTAAGGTGTAAATCCATGTCCACTGGCACAGTGTCTTACGATGCAGATTGACATTGACTTTAATTCAAATTTCAGGCAGGAATCATATGTTGACAGTAAGATTGATTGATTGTTAGTTGCTATATGTCCAGTGGCAAATATTGACAGACATCTTAATTTTAATTCAATCAACAAGATTGTATTATTCATAACTGTTCGTGAAGTTGCTTTATGAAATCAACTTAGAAATACAGAAAATCTTAAAAAAGAATTGCCATCAGTGAAAAGTTCGTATATTAGGAAAAAGTATAGTTTGATTTTTAGCTGAGTTGCAACAAAGTCTGTTTATAATATGTCACCAGGGGTCCAGGCATCAACATTTTCGTTTCTAGACATTTATTTTTTGGCCAGAAACAATATCATTACCAAACTTAGTTTGATAATATTCACTGGGGTGAGGATCACCCCTATTGATGTTTTGGTTAAAAGGTCAAAACCTAGGTCATAGCAGTATTGATAGACTAAATTTTTGGAAACATTTTGATTTCAAGACATGATCTTTCGAACCGTTTTTCCAACTTTTACCAAAGTTGTTGTGAAAATGCCCCATGGGTTGATGAAGACCTCTTTGGATTTGGATGTTACTAGGTCAAAAGTCAAGGTCTCAGCAGCAATTATTAGACTGAAATTGAGGCAACATTTTAGTTTCCAGGGTATATCTTTTGAACAGTATGTCAAACATTCACCAAAATTGAGATGCCCCTTGTAAAGAACAAGACTCTTATAGATTTCTTAGTCAGTTGGTCAAAGTTTAAGGTCACAATACCTATTTTCTCTTATATAACATAAATTTTCAGCAGGTTTTACATTTACTGTCACCCCCCCCCCCCCAAAAAAAAAAATTACTAAACTAAAAAATGTTTTTTCTATAAACTATAAAGATTGCAACTTGGCTAATGCACCTATGGTGCTCTTGGAATTTTCACACCTTTGTATGTTTAACAAACACATGACTATGCAACATGACAATTTGTTTTTACCTTTTCAGACATTTACATAGAATAACATTTAATTTATTGTTTCATGTATCAAAATTCTCACAAATTTTCTGTGTTGAAGGTTGTGCTGTAAGTCATTTAGTTGTTAGTTGCTATTAATATATACTAGAAAATGAGAATGCTGTATATAAAAGATGTGGTATATGATAATTCATGCAAAGGAGAAGGTACATGGTAGTACTTATATTGGCCCTTTAAATTCACAATAAATAAAAAATTGTATGATTCAACATAAAGAACTTTTGAAATTTATTTCAATTTTAGGCCAATTTGACCTTTAATAGTATCTTCTCCTTTGTAACAATTTTGCAATTTTCAAAGAGCCCATAAATTTACGGATATTTGCAGATACTGTTGGATGTGATATCACAGGGTGGAAGAATAGCTTTAGCATAGTTAAATCTATTTTTTATGGGAATGTGCATACTTGGTGCTCTAGTTATTATATCATGATTTAGCTAGGCTTTCTTTTCACAAAGCTATTTTGAATTCAGGGATTCCTTTCCCATATTTAACAGGTGCAAATAGCAAACCCTTCATTGCTAATAATCTGTGCAAAATACTTTCCTTTGTTATTGGGATTGAGTCATACGATCTACAGAATTGGTATGTTTTGTTCAGTAGAATATCTGCATGTTGTTGGAATGGGCATAGCTAATATTGATGTGGTTAACATACCATCAAACCTGTTTGTGAAAAAAAATATAACTTCTTTCAATAGACATTGAATTTGCTTGTAGAATTTTTCTATATCTATACTAATTCATAGCACAGAAAAGTGAAATGTCTCCATCTTATCAAAAAAGAAAAAAAAAGAGGAGAAATAGAAAATTATTCTTTCTGTTAAAAATGGTACAATGTATCAACCTACAGGTTTGATTGTATTTTTCAGTATGGTAAAATCTGTGAATCCTGGGAGTAGTGTTTTTAAAGCTTGAGTTATAAGGTATTGTTGTGTGACCCTTATAGTAAATGTCTTAGGGCTCATTGATACTTTAAAGCCACAATTTCACGACAGTAATTTATGTAAGGGGGACAGTCGCAGAAATAAAGTCTGTGAATTTAAATCAGTTTTAAAACGAGGTAAATATCGGTGTAACAGCAACCAAAAATAAGACATTAAAAAGTCATCAAATTATAGACAAGTGCCAACACCTAATGGCCAGCTCTTAATTGTCCAAAGATTAGAGAAGTTGTGAATAAATTCATAAGGGACAGCCAGTATCTAATAATGACATTTCAGGTGAAAAAATTGCATGAATGTTTTATGATTTATCATGTGACAGTATCTTCTATAGTATCAATGAGCCTTTATGTTACAGCACAACCTTTTAGTGCAAAAATATGGCTGTTTAAACTCAGCCCATATAGCAAGTAAATATAACACGTTCACTCTATATATATAACTTTTAATGTACTTGATGTCTACATGTTTTAATAGAAACTGTACCTTAAGTCAGATGTTGCCATAGTAACAGTACATACGCTCTTGTCATTCCATTGATTACATTTTTTCAAATATTGTCTGGATGACAAAATTTTATGCATGACCTGCTCAAATAAACTTTCTAGGCCTTTCCAAATATTTGTGAATTCAATTTTTAAACCGACATTTTGTCTTTACTATGATAACAAGAGAATATATTTATGAGTAACTGGATATTTTAAACAACAAGAACTAATTTAAATGATATTTGGATTTCTCACTAAAATAAAATAGTATCAATTTATAGTTTAAGTGATAAACAGCTGATAAAATTCATAGGTTAACAATTAATTTATGTGAGAAGTACCAATTTAAATACATTTATTGAGGTAAAGGGCCCTGTTACAAGGGGATACAGTTTGCTCAACCCTAATTGTATTCAACTCTCGTATCATTTCCCATATACATTTTTACATGTTTACATTGTTATATCAAATTATTTATTTTACTCAAACTGTGTACCAAAAATAAAAATTCACATGATGAAAGGAGAAATGAATCATAATGTAATAATTTTATAGACATAAAACATGGAAAAACTGTAAGATTTAAAAATCCTTAAAATCCTTTATTTATTTCTAATAAATCTTTAAAAGCAATGGTTTTTTTCAATAGGTGTGCAGCAACTCATTCTTTTCATTAAGATAAAAGCCCATTGTATTTCCTCTTTTTCATTCCAATGTCAGCCACATTTTATAAATTATCAATTTGCTTTATGAATGATGATGTCTTGAATTGTATTAAGCTCAAACTACAAAATTGGATTGGATGAGACAAAAAATACATGCTATTGTTTGATAGAACATGTTCTATTTTGAAAAGCAAAGCATGAAAAGTTGTATGCTACTGAATAATAACTCTGTATAACCTATGTGTGTTGTTTGTATCATGATCCAACTAACATACAGTTTGTATTACTGTGTAAAAGCTCCTTAATGGTCATCATCTTTTTATACATTTTTTAACAATTTGTTGTGCTTTCTAATTGTTGTCAAATATTGTAATTGTTGTCAAACACCTTCTTTTGATTTTTATATCTTTAAATCTGAGATTATAGAAAAAAAAAGGATGAATTTAAAAAAAAAACCTATCTGTAATTGCTAGTTCCAGTGGTTTAAAAAATCAAAAAACAAAATAACAGAAATGTTATCAATATGTATCTGCAAATATCTGTATTTGTTTTGTTTTTATAACTAGGCCATCCATGTGTTCAATAAAATTATAGGAAAATATCTAATACTAAAGGCTGAATCTATCTTAAATTTGCTTTTTCTTTTTTAGTTTGCATACATCAGAATCTCAGAAACCAGTAATAAAAGGAGGAGTATTGATGAGACCAGGTGGTAATCCATCTCAGGAGAAAGATTCAGTAGTAGAAAAGGAACCACTTGTATAGATCGTCTGTTGACATTATAAAGTGATTCTGAGGGTTATCATATTATGGTATTCTGAATGTATTTCTAATTTTTTGTTGTCTAGAAGATTTTTATTATGAAATGCATTTTTTGTATTATTAAGAAGTTTTCAACATTGAAAATATTGGTGGTCTATATAATTATCAGTATACAATCTGCTGTTCTAAGTATTGTCAAACTATTTTGATTTGCAACCTTTATAAATGATAGGTAAGTTATAAATAATGATATTATGAAAAGTCATGGAAATTTCTTTTTCTTATTTATAAGCCCAATGCTTTGATAAGATTAACCTACAAAATTTTGTATCCGGCTTTGTACCTTGAACTTTAGTACTCATTCATACATACAGCCTGTCAAATGACTATGCCTTAATATTTTAAATGAGACAAATCATAAATTCATCTATGTGAATATGTCAAACTTTTCTGACATACGTTATTTCTAATTTAGAATAATAAAGTTATATATTTTTTACTTGCCATAAAGTTATAATAATTTCTTAGATTATCTCAGAAGGCTGCAGATTGTTCAGTGCAATTTTCACAATGAAAGGAATGATATGATAATGTCAATTTAGCCACTTGAATTTGAAATTGAAAAATGTAGTAAATACAACCTTCAGATGTTCATGTTTAAGACTAAATATCCAATTGTTTTTCAAACAGTTGCAAGAAAGAAATTTCATAATGGTCAATATATGAGCTGTGTCAGATAGAAATTGACTTTATGCAAATGAATATCAATGCATCTGTTTAGGGTTGAAAAAAATCTCTTTGGAATGTCTGTAACTGTTTGAAAATTGAGTTGTTATAAAAAAATATCTACAAAACAGACCAAAAGGCATCTTTCATTTCGTATTTGAATGTTCCAAAATCAATCAAAGTCTTATTCATGTACATGTATAGGTGGCATAAGGTCGATTTCTATCTGACACAGCTCATATCATTCATATTGTTGTCAAGAAGATTAAAACATTTTACATATATTATTCAAAGTCCCCCTATAAGATAAATTTCTATTTATATAATCATGATTACATTTGAAACATAGTAATAAAAAATGATTTGTTGAACATAAGATGATATAGTTCATGTGATATTTGTATTTTTTGTATAATTTTTTATTGTTTTTGAGTTTATTAGATACATTTATGCTTTGTTTAAAATTAAGAGTAGAACTAAATATGTATTTTTGCACTCAGAGGTTAGAGACGTATTATTACTTTGTATTTTTTCACTCAAATTTTAATATAAGAAACAATCTGTTCACCAGATTCTATTTTTCATATTTTGTTATTGAGAATTGTTAAAATTTATGAACTTATTAGTTAGCCACATTTCAGGTAATAAAGAAAAATAATGACATGTATGAAAAATAAAGCAATAGTGGATTTATAAAATAAGATTATTAATTTATTATAGAAATTTTCCTAAACTAATTAGCATTTCTTATAATACCGACGATGCGAGACCTTCATGGGTAGTCAAGGTCATTAAACACCCCTGTAGTAGTTGTTATATGTACAAGAACCTCGGTGGTCACATTGTTTAAGTAGTTTATCTGCAGCCATCACTAGCCTGTCAGCGCTGAGTATGTGGGTTCAAGCTCCACTCATTTCAGGTGCGTTCGACTCCTAATTTGATTGATTAGAATTGCAAGTTTTCCTGTCGCACCAAAAAAAACTGTCTGCCACGATATATCCAAGGGTGCTGAAAGTGGCATAAAACAACATCAATCATAAAAATATGTACAGTTTCTTGATGAAATAGATATAGTACATTGTTTAAATCAAATCTTCAAAAACAAACTCTTTTAATTCAAAATACAAAAAATGTAGTAAATTTTTTAGTTGTTGAATCCTTTCGACATTTCTAGATCAATGGAGACCTTATTCACATCTTTACAGCACATCTATTTGATTATAATCACTGAGATTGTAATCAAGTTAAAGAAAAACATAGACCAGCAGAAAATATGCCATCTAGTGTAAACCAACTTTTTTTCACACCTTTCATTAGGGGATTAATAATGCGAATATAAATTGTCGCGAAAGTATAAAACTTTAATCCTCACTTGAAATATAAAACATTAAGAAAAAATTAATCGCTGTGAAGTAAGCCAGAGATATTAAAGCAAAATAAAGTATATGAGAAAATGGTTTACAGTATTAAAAAGAGGAACAATTTCATTAAAAAATCTGGATAAAGTAAATTCACTGAAATGTGGCAACTTTACTTAATGATTTTAACACGATGAATATAATTCAATAACAGTTTTAACTTCTTATCACAATAAGATTATTTTGTTGTTTTTGAAACAATTACAGTTGAAATTGTAGTAAAAGTTTTTGGAGTGCTTTTTGCATCAATGAGACGGAAGGAAATATTGTGCTCTATTTCTAAACATGGCAATTTCAATCTTTGATTTTACTGTTGCAAAGTCAATTCTCCAGTTATGCGTTTTTTGAGCGGGAAAACATTTGCAGCTGCAAAATCTATGATTGACTCTAGTATTGAAATAAATTGCAGTTATTCATATTCTAATGCAGTTGTTAAAGCGTGCCTGCTAATTGAAATTTTGAATAAATTGAAATGCCACAGAGCATCCAGCAGGTGAAGTGTTAATTTAAACCCCCTTAGAATATATGAGGTCATCCATAAAAAAATTCTTACAGAAAAGAATTGCATTAGAATAAAATATTGTTGTAAGTTATATTAACTATTTTTGTTTGGAGTCCTGTATTTTAACAAATGATTTCTGATGCAAGGAAAGAGACTTCAGTGGCCTTTTTAAGGCAATTAATATAAAAGCTGTTTTTCCTTCATATATTTCTGTGCTTATCCAACTTGAAAAAAGGTTTTGGCCTATTGGTAAAGTGGAAGGGCAAAGTCTTTTTTTATATCAAGTGTTGTGATAATTACTGGATTAAACCAAAATGCACTATACAAAGTTTCAAATTTATAGATGGTTACTTGTTATATATCAATGTAGAATTGTATTTTTTGATAACAAGAAATTATTGTTTAAGGTGATGTTAATGTTATGAATTCATTTGGGAAAAAATAAAATTGGAACTTGTTATATTTTGTTAATGTTACTTTTAAACTGGCCTTTTGGCATTTTTTCTGATTTTGATTGATCAGTTTTGATATATGGTCCCCATAGAAAAATGCTTGTTTTCATGTTTTCTGCCAGTCCATAACAAACTGTGCATGCTCCGAGACCATTTTCCCGAAAGGGTTCATACTTTGGATGATTGTTTGTCATCATGTGCTTGACCTTACTTTACCCCTTATTTGATTTGGCAATATTTGCAGAAGTTATGGAACTTTGACAATTAATGGCCAATGTAGCATAATGACACTCTTGATTCCTCCCTACCATTGAAATTTTCTGCATGTAAATTTACATGAAAATCTATAGGATAATGCCAAGATTTTCACAACAGTTCCTAAATTCTCAAAACGACCACATTTTCCTGCAGATGCGAACAATTGGGTGGGTAATTACGAAAGCTACAAACTGGAATGATAATGTTATGTGTGTAGCTGTTGTTCCACAGTCTAGTCTTGAGACTATTACAATGTATCAATCCTGTCAAGATTTAGCCTATGATTTATAACAAACCTTCATTTATTGTTGAACACAATTCGATTATCTTAAACAAGAAATATTATGCTTGAATGTCTCTGACACTTAATGCATGAGTATTATATTAAAAGTCTGTGAGGTCATGGTCAAACAACAAATGCAAAACTCACAATCATATAACAGACTATAGATACTTAGTCTAGCTCTAACAGGTGTTTAGAATCTGATCTTATCATATAACATGAAAACTTAATGTTGATCAGCTAAGTGTTTATACCATGACCTTATATTTTCGGTTCACTTATCAACACTAAGTTGCCACTGGATGTTAAGCAAGCAACAATCAATCAATCAATCAATCAAACTTTTGTGATTTGATTAGTTCCTTAATTACTATGAGTTATAGATAAACTTTACACTTGTAATATCTACATGTCTGTTCGATGGGAGTCATATGACTCAGTATAACCTCGTTTTCATTGAGTAAAATTTTCAAGATTTTGGTTAGTGATTGAATTATAATACTAATAATATATGAGCTGCCTCAGATAGAAATCAGCCTTATACAAATGAATATCAATACATCTGTCTCATCTGTTAATCTATTTCAGGTTGAAAAAATCTCTATGGAAAGTCTGTAACTGTTTGGAAATTGAGTTGTTATAAAAAAAATCTACAAAGTAGACCAACATTAATCTTTTATTTCATATTTAAATGTTTCAAAATCCATCAAAGTCTTAAACATGTACATGTATACATGCACTTGCATAAGGTCGATTTTTATCCGATGTAGCTCATATGATATCCATGTAAGTGTGCGCAACACATGCTTCATCAGGTATGATCATGACCAAATGTTTTGGCATTCAAATAGTAGAACATTTGTGAGCATCAAAACTAAATGGACCTAAACAGAAAACTCAAAACCATCTTAGGTCATATTTGCCTGAGGTTTACGCAATGTAAGATTTACAATTGTTAAATTCATAAACTAAAGTCAAAATGTATCATTTAAATCAAGCCAGTACCAAAGCAGTGGTTACTGACTGAATAGCTTAAGCAACATGTCTACAGAATACTTGCACATATCCTGACCTGATCATGCTTATGAACAATGAAAGTGAGATCAGATTCAGATTATCTTTTTCTGACAGACATAGACACCTAACAAATACTTTATGGACCCAATTAAATCTTTATTCACTCAAATGTTTGGCAAAAGAATCTTTTTAAATGCCTCCTTGCAAATTCTGTCATTACTTCCTTGTTCAAGGCAGTATTTAGTTGAACGTAAATTAAGGTTAAAGATATAGACCTATCTTGACCCATAAAAAGGTCTGTTAAACAATACAGACAGTTGTCTTGTTGGCAATCATACCACATCTTCTTATTTTTATACGACCACAAAATTTTTGCGGTCATATATTGGTATCACATCGTTGTTGTCGTCATCGTCCGAAGACATTTGGATTCAGGACAATAACTTTAGTATAAGTAAATATAAATCTTTGAAATTTAAACTCAAGGTTTATCACCACAAAAGGAAGGTTGGGATTGATTTTGGGGGTTATGGTCCCAACAGTTTAGGAATTAGGGGCCAAAAAGGATCCCAAATAAGCATTTTTCTAGTTTCCAGACAATAACTTGTGGAACAGTGTATGGAATTGTCTGAAATTATACCACAAATTTCCATACCACAAAGGGATAGTAAGAATTGGCTTTGGGGGTTATGGCTCAAACCGTTTAGGAATTAGGGGCAAAAAAGGGGGGAAAAACAAGGGTTTCCAGGTTAATGGACAATTACTTAAGTACAAAACATAATTTAAAAGCAGTGTAAGGGAGGTAATTCAAACACATTCAAAAACAACATTGACAATGTGTTTGAATTACCTCCCTTACACTGCTTTTAAATTATGTATAAAGAAATGTTGTATTGTCTTGAGGTGATTAGCTGTCAATTTATTTTTAGAAGTTACTATTTTAAAAATGCAAGGTAATTTAATTTTAACCATGATTATGTATGTCATTTTCTATTTTAAGACTTTTATGATGTATTTAAATGGGTTATTATGGTTGCAAACTCCTTTGGAAATTTGACAATAACTTAAGTATAAGTAAATATAAATCTATGAAATTTAAACACAAGGTTTGAAACCACAAAAGGAAGTTTGGGATTGATTTTGGGGGTTATGGTCCCTACGGTTAAGGAATTAGGAGTCAAAAAGGGGCCCAAATAAGCATTTTTCTAGTTTCCAAACAATAACTTGTGGAACAGTGTATGGAATTGTCTGAAATTGTACAAGTTTCCACACCACAAAGGGATGGTAAGGATTGGCTTTGGGGGGTTATGGCTCAGTCTGTTTAGGAATTAGGGGCAAAAAAGGGGAAAAAAACAAGGGTTTCCTGGTTAATGGACAATTACTTTAACTTTGTTTCTTTATGTTGGTACTTTTTGCTATTTGTTTGCTAGTTCTAGTATGAAATATTTTTTAGCTGTTTCTGAAAACATCAAATACTGTGATTTAAAAATATATAATATTATAACAGTGTATATCAAAGGGTTCAGTGGTAATAAATTTTTATACTCCGAATTGGTTATTCTTTGTTTGGGTTTTTTTTTTGCATTAGAGTTACCTCTTTACAAACTTTGTTTGATTTCAACTAAAATTAAATTTTTGGGTTTTTTTTATATGCTGAATCTAACCATGTTGTTAAATTTTAGATATCAGACCATTCTAGGTAAATTAAATGTCCCATTTCAAATTTTTAAGATCTTTGACCACATTTATTTTGTGTCAGAAACCTGTATTATGTCAAAAAATTTGATCACAATCCAAATTCAGACAGTATCAAGCTTGAATATTGTGTCCAAACTTACCCCGACTCTGCGGTCGTATCAGGCTGCGCTCAGTGAAGCATTTTATTATACTGAGTAAAAGAAAAATGAAAACTAGATGTGTCAGAACAACACGAACGGCCCCGTCGCAAAAAGTTGAAAAATCTGCAATTTCAACAACACATGTGGACACAAACATGCATGGATAGTATCCAGCTCTCAAGACCAATACTAGTTTGATGAAAAATTTCCTTGATCAATGAGAAGTTAAATTTCAAACTATCAAGAAACAGGAAGTGGATGTACTGCAGATCTAACAAGATGTGTTGAAATGACATGAAAATCAGCATAGCAGAACGAAACATAAACTTGATCTGTAACTCATCATGGTAAACTCACATATAAAAAATCAGCGCAAAATCTGAAGGCGTATAGAAAAAAAAGTCTGTATAACTGTGATTTTCAACAATTTATCAAAGTCCAAAGCCCGTAATTTCTGCAAAAATTAGCAGAGCAAATCGAAAACTTAAACTTGATCTGTAACTCATCATGGTTAACTCACATACCAATACCGCAGCTTGATACGACCGCAGAGGTCGAACCCTGAACAGTTGGGGCAAGTATGGACACAACATTCAAGCTTGATACAGCTCTGAATTTGGATTGTGATTAAATATTCGACACACCATAGGTTTCTGACACAGAATGAATGTGGTCTAAGAACTTAAAAAATTTTAATTTACCTATTCAAACCATATCATTATTATTTGCTTTTATATATAAATCAGAAATAACCAATTTAAAATGGAAAATTTTAAAGAAAAAAAAAGGAAAAAAAAATCCCCCCCCCAAAATTTTTTGAACCCCCTTATGATTCATCACCCCAAAACTCAATTACAGCCTTCCCTTTGTGGTATGGTACCTTGCAGTACAATTTCAGAGAGATTCATTCACTTGAACACCAGTTATTGTCTGGAAACTAGAAAAATGCTTGTTTTTTGGCCCCTTTTTGGCCCCAAATTCCTAAACGTTTAGGGCAATTACCCCCAAACTCAAACCCAGCTTTCCCTTTGTAATATGGAACCTTGTAGTACAGTTTCATAAAGATCCATACACTTACACACAAAGTTATTGTCCTGAAACTAGAAAAAAGGTTGTTTTTTGCCCCTTTTTGGCCCCTAATTCCTAAAATTTTGAGGCAATTACCCCCAAAATCAATCCCAGCCTTCCCTTAGTGATATGGTACCTTGCAGTACAATTTCAGAGAGATACACTTGAACACAAGTTATTGTCTGGAAACTAGAAAAATGCTTATTTTTGACCCCTTTTTCCTAAACGTTTTGGGCAATTACCCCCAAACTCAATTCCAGCTTTCCCTTTGTGATATGGAACCTTGTAGTACAATTTCAGAAAGATCCATACACTTACACACAAGTAATTGTCATGAAACTAGAAAAATGCTTGTTTTTTGCCCCTTTTTTGGCCCCTAATTCCTAAAATTTTGAGGCAATTACCCCCAAAATCAATCCCAGCATTCCCTTTGTGATATGGAACCTTGTGGTACAATGTCAGAGAGATCCATACACTAACACACAAGTTATGTCTGGAAGTTACAAAAATGCTTATTTTTGGCCCCTAATTCCTTAACTGTTGGTACCATAACCCCCAAAATCAATCCCAACCTTCCTTTTGTGGTATTGAACCTTATGGTAAAATTTCATAGAGATCCATTCACTTAAACTAAAGTTAGAGTGCGGAAAACCAATGTGTCTTCGGACGACGACGACAACGACAACGACGCCAATGTCATACCAATATATGACCGCAAAATTTTTTGCGGTCGTATAAAAATCAGCCCAATATCTGAAGGCGTTTATGAAAAAAGTCCGTATAACTGAGATTTTCAACAATTTATCAAAGTCCAAAGCCTGTAATTTCGGCAAAAATTAGCAGAGCGGAACGAAACTTAAAAACTCACATACCAAAAATTGCGTATAATGGTTTGTTGCGGAATGACGGACAAGGGTAAAACTATATGGTCCCGACAACTTTGTTGCGGGGCCATAAAAATATGCTGTAAATTAATTAACATGTGAAATAGTACATAACATAATTTAAATTTATTTTATGGAAGTTATGACTTTTAGCATAGTATCTATATGTGTAATCAATTTGATTTTAGTATATGAAACTAACCAAATTGTGAAAACAGCATTGAGTTTATGGAAGATCATTGATAATTGTGATTTAGAGGATTTAGTGCTAAGCCCCTTAGTCTGCCCCCCTGTCATACAATAATTTTATCGACCAATATAGTTGACCAGTGAATTTCTTATAACCATGAAACTTACATAAGCACAAAAAACAACATTGCCCCCAATATAATTGACATACTTCTTATAGTATCTGATAAGCTGACAAAACCATGAAAAATTAACATTGACCAATAAACCATGAAAATGAGGTCAAGATCATATAAACCCTGCCAGATACATGTACACCTTACAAACATTCAATATACAAAATATAATTGACCTATTACTTAAACATTGTCCAATGAACCATGAAAATGAGGTAAGTGTCAGATGAAATCTGTCAGTCAGACATGTGCACCTTAAAATCATTTCAAAAACCAAATATAGTTGACCCTTTTGGTTATAGTATCTGGGGAAAAAAAATCAAATTAGAAAAAATTAACAGTGTACATTGAACCATGTAAATGAGGTCGAGGTCAGATGAAACCACCAGTCAGACATGTACACATTACAATCATTCAATACACCAAATATAGTTGACCTGTTGCTTATGGTATCTGAGATACGGACTTGACCATGTAAACTTGACCTTGATCACTGATCCATGAAATGAGGTCGAGGTCAGTTGAATCCTGTCTGATGGAGATGTAGACCTTGCAAGGAACCCATATACTAAATATAGTTATCCTATTTTTCATAATAAGTGAGAAATTTGCATTATAAAAAAAAAAGGCTGTCGCTGAACCATTAAAATGAGGTCAAGGACAATGGACATTGTCAGACAGAAACTTTGTAACATAAGACATCTGCATACAAGGTATGAAGCATCTAGATCTACTAACTCCTGAAATGTAAAGCTTTTTAAAAACAAATAATTTACACGCTCCCTGTTACTGGATTGCAATACCTATGTCTCGCATTCTGCGACTTTTGTCACAGGCGAGACAAAAACCAAAATTGTTATTGTTTTCATTTTGAAGATAATATAAAAGTCACTGATAAAATCTTTATACTCTTCCAAGTTCTTCTTTTTCTGCATGCTCATTCAATCAGCAAACAGGAGGTAATAATTATGGCATTAACACTTCTGAATAAATCTTAAAATTTTATTTTCAGATGTACATTACCGGTGTGGAAAAGATGTGTATACATATCTACATTGTACATCAAAAACACATGAATATATACAGATTTAACAGATTTAAATTAATTCAAAAACTCATATACATTCCTTGTATTCAGAAAGAAAGTACAGAAAGCAGTAATCTGTTTAACTTGAAGAGAAATACAAATCTGAAAATAGCATATCAATTTACATTTGAAAACCAACATACTGAATCTGTATAAACAAAAAAAGAAGCCTATCTAAAAATTCAATTTTCATAGATAATCACAGAAGAAATATATAAAAAAAGTTCTTAAGGACTAGAAGAACAAATTGACAAATCAAAAATAATCATTTAGCAACAGTTTAGGAAATTTCATAATTCTAGTTTGCTTCCTTACTAAAAGCAGGACAGAAAATGTCAGTGTTATGAATAATGAATAATTACAAAATAATGCACCAAAAACCAAAAAAGGAAAGAAGAATACACATAGATTGTCAAAAGAAATATAGCTAATATGTTTTCCTGTTTAGATTATGCAATCTTAATACTAAAAGGTTAATAAAAGATGACAACCAATCTGACATATGATATATAGGTGTATTTCTAAATGTAATGCTGAATTGTTTATGTACAATAATAAGTTCTAATGGAAATTTTTATCATACACAAACATTTTTACTCATATTCATTTCAGAAATGAAATCAGGCACTGGGTACCATACATGTATTTTTGGTGGTGTAGTTATTTTATTTTCCCTGACAACTCTTATTCTAGGACTTTTATGCAAAAAATTGACAACACCTATTATGGATACAACTGTTATATGAATATCTAATGCATAAATATTTACGTACAATGGTTTTTTGGAATTTTATGAACAAAATGTCATAGAATATGATAAAACGATTTATAGCTGTTAGTATTTTATAATACAGTACAATTTACCACTAATAATATCCATTAGTAATAGCAAATACTTCAGAAACCAGAGTAGTCAATTTTGGTTATTTTTTCAAAACCAATATCACTACATATTAAGTATTGTTAGTTCTTGTCTAAATAAAGGTAATTCCAAGGTTTATGGACTACTAGCTATATCTAACCTGTCTGAATAATTACAGACACTAATTTGAGGTCTTAGAAGATACAATTAGTATTGCTACATTTGTAGAGGTATATTCATTATTCTTATTTATTATGTTTGTCTTGTATTTAGTGATAAATAGATAATTTATTCATGTTATACAAATTAAGCATAACATTTCTTCATCAAAACAAAATAATTCTGAACTTAGTACTAATTTTGAATATTACAGTAGTACAATTAGCAAATATGTTAAAAAAAACTCAATCATAAAAATAGCACTTTTAATTTTTACAGCACAAAATTTACTAGCATAATTGCATCCATGCTCTTGTGACACTTGGTCAATCAAATACAGCACACAAATACACAGACCCAACTTTAAGGAAATATTTTCTATAATGGTAAAAAAGATAATTGCCTAAATACCTAAATACCTAATATTAAGGGCCATAGGCCAGAAAAAAATATGTCCATATGCTTTTTTTTTCAAGATTTAAGCATATACAAATTTGACAGGAAAACAGGAGTTATCTTAATTTTTCACATACTTTGTATTAGGATGTTTTCATTGTTGAAATCTTTTGAGAAATTTTGAGAAATTACAAGATTTTAAAGGAACGTAGTTTATAATGTATCAAATGAAATTATGAAAAGAAAAGTATGGGTTACTGGCAAAATTTTCTATTAATTCAAAAAAGCCAGATGAACTCAGAATAATGAAAACAAGATGGTCTATATGACAACAAAAATACTACCACTTGGGACCTTAACGCAAAATTAAAGACAAGCCAGCAAGTGTAAATTGTATGTCATGATGCAAAAATTATCAATTTATTTAGAAAATTATGAATTTATCTCCCTTGTTTAGTTCATACACGCATCAAGCTAACCCTAACATCAGATCATTTGTAAAACATCCTTATAATAGCCACATTAATGGTAATCACAATTACAAAGCATTGGGATATACAAAATTAAATAAAATGGGATTTGTAATGCAAATTCTGGCTGGACATTGTTCACTAGTTCATTGTATAAATTTCATGACACAATGTAATACCACAGGAGTATTCTGCAATGGTTTGCCCTCATTTCTATTTATCATTTAGAAGTTGGTTAATTGTCATATTTTCAATAATTAAACATGTGGACAGTAACCTCAAATCTATGATTTAAAGCTTGCAAATATTAAATAACATTAATCTCCTAACTAGCTGTCCATTAGAATCATTAATATGTAAAATTAAATATTCCACAAAATACAACATTCAGATTCAACATTTACAACACTCTTCAAACATATAACTGGACCCATATCTGTTATTGTTGTAATTCTTGTTGCAAGTTAATACATGAAGTCAGGGGCTTAGTATACAATATTCATAATTCACCACAGATGAGTTTCTCGTATTTCTCCGATTATATGACTAGCTCTCTGTAATGCCTGAAAAGATAAAATATATGTCATACTTGAAAGTTTCTAAATCTGAGGAAAAACTTTAAAAATCATACAAATATTTTCAGTAGCTTTCAAGTCATTGCTCTACCAAAAAATACAGTTATAATATATATTCATAATTTTTGTTTTTATATATTTTTTATACAATAAGACAGATAGGTAAAAAAATTTTTATCTGTGAGTACGAGAATTTTCATTCCATTCTTATGTCTAAGGATTGCACAGGGTTAGTATATTCAGCTGATTATAATAAAAAATAAACAAGCATTCTGAGAGTATTGCATGGCAATACATAGTCCCCTACCGGGTAAAATTCATTATACTGGAACAAAATGCTAACTTGTTCTATAACTTGTCATGGTGTAAACAAAAAGAAAATATCAAGTCAATATCTTCAAGCATGACTAAAAACAGTGTGGAAAACTGAATATATGAGTGAATTTTTTCAAGTCCAAGGACCATAACTCTGCACAAAATTAACAGACCGAAACAAAAATTTGAACTTGATCTGTAACTTGTCATGATAAAACTATTTACCAATTGTCAATCAATATTTTCAAGCATGATGAAAAAAAGTGTGGAAAACCTATAACACTCTAACATTAGATATGATGTAATACAATGTATATCTATTTTCATATTACAATCAAATATAATTAATATTTCCAAATATTTTTTCTTTCATTTGTCACAAGCTAATATAGATTTGTAACTTACCTATAAAATGTCAACAACTTTTATCTACACAATGTAATGTAATGAAATATATACCTTAATAAAAATAGATTATTATCTAATTAAAGGATTTCACTTAATAAAAATATATATATATATATACATGTAGCATTCAGAAAATAAGTTTATACAAAATAACATATAAACCTGCCACAAAATTCCTCAAACAATTTACCAAAGAATGTCTTTTAAAAATGAGTTATCTCCCTTTGTACAGATTATATGGTTTAACATAGTACTCTAACATTAGTTATGGAGTTTTTTCATGGACCATAACTCTGGACTAAATCATCAGACTGGAACAAAATTCGAACTTGATCTATAACTTGTCATGATAAAAATATATACCAAATATCAAATCAATATCTTCAAGAACGAAGAAAAAAAGTGTGGAAAGCTGAGTTGCCAGACTGACGGATGGACAGACAGACGGACGGACAGACAGACGGACAGAGTGCAAACCTAAAGTCCCCTTCGACTTCGACTAATAAATGGGGAATGTGTACATGGGACACAGATGATGCCCCCGCTTACATATAATGTTATAAAGGGACAGAAGTCAAGAACGGTAAAAGTGACGCTACCCAAATTTGTACTTGATCTGAGTTTTGTGGTAATAGGCATTGTGTTTAAGTTTCATTACATTTGGTTGAGGCAAACTTAAGAGAACCGATACGAAAAATTCAGCAATTTTTCCATTTGTAAAGGGGCATAACTCTAGAACAGTAAAAGTGACGCAGTGTTCCTGCCTGCCCTAAATAGAAGGGCGGCCCGCCCTTCTGCCCTCCGAAGTAAAAGAATGTCCCCCCTCTGCCTTTTTAAAAAAATAAAATTTCCAAATTTCATGCCTACCGGCGTTTCCGGTAAAATTGTTACCTGATGGTGTAACACTAATTAACTGACAATGGGATTAAGTTGAATACCTAATGTTTTGGCAGTTTTATCACCTTTGTTAATGATTGTTTACTGCTAATTAGTGGATTTAAGATAATTGAACAAATACTAGCTATTTAATACAGAATGAAATGTTCACATGTTATCCATTTGTAATGTTTATGTACAGCATGTACACCATAAAAAAAATTATTTCAGTAGGCATAACATAAAAAATAAAATCTTAAACAATTTTAAAGGCATACATAGTTTTGACTTAATTGGTGAAAAATGTTTTGTTTCATAACCATGAGTATGAAATTTAAAGAAGAATCAAAGAAATTTGTACTTTGAACATAACAAGATTCACTTCCTGTTTTACTTCTTGTATTTTATAATCCTCCTGACATAGGAGCACTCAACAAATATATTTTTAACAATGATGGAGAAAAAAGTAACTGTTTATACCTTCTGCAATATATTATTGCATCAATATAATATGATCATCTCCTGTCTCACCTGTTATATTTATAAAACTCCTTACTGAGGAGCACTTTTAAGTGCACTTAAAAATACTTTTTTTGTAACAATTCAAATGATAATAGATAACTCTCAATAACATATATACTATATGTTTGAACAAGTAATTTAAATGTAGATAATTTAATTACATTAAACATTCAATTTTGCATGTATAACTCCATCTTTCAAAAATACTTGTTTATTTTGGTTTAAGTTATAAAACATTGAAATTTATGATGATTATTTTCCTTAGCAAATTTACAATTTTGTTTAGATTAACATCAAAATGATATGCTTTGCTTCATGGAATGATAATTTGATGAAAAAAATTCTTACTGGAACCAACATCAAGAACACATTAATTTCTGAATATGGTTTAAATACAACTAATGTTCTCCAGCTGCATGAGCCTAGTAATATTCAAGGTAATTTATACACTGTCCAACATTGCCCTTAAAATCTGGGTTATAACACTAAAGTGCCCATTCAGACAACTAGCACCCTTCTGCCCTGAGATTCAAGCTGGAACACTGTGACGCCACCAAAATTCAAACTTGATCTGTGTTTTGTGGTAATAAGCATTGTGTATAAGATTCATAACATTTGGTTGAGGCAAACTAAAGTGAGAGAACGGAAACGAAAAATTCAGCAATTTTTCCATTTGTAAAGGGGCATAACTCTAGAATGGTAAAAGTGACGCCAACAAAAATTCAAATTTGATCTGTGTTTTGTGGTAATAAGCATTATGTATAAGTTTCATAACATTTGGTTGTGGCAAACTAAAGTTAAGAGAACAGAAACCAATTTTAGGACGTATGGACGAACAGACGTACAGATGGACAAGGGTAAAACTTAATGCCCCCTCCGTTACAGTGGAGGCATAAAAACTGAACTGTCCGCTAAGCTGGACCTATACCCTGCATCCCAAATTAACATTTGACTATGCTAGTGACTGATGAAATATAGGAAATCAAAGACGCTAATAATATATATTTTGACATTTTTCTCGTGTTTGATTTAATGTTGCCTCAGCTATATGTAGCTCCTTCATACATGCATATTTACATAAAAGGGGATCTTACAATATACTGAATTTCATAAAGATATAATGAGGAGTTACGATGACAAGGTAGGAGCTGGAAATTGTCAAAATGTCTAAGTTCAATGGGCATTACTTTAAAAAAAATCTCCAAAAGGACTGGTTTATCCTACCAACATGCACATCTACGTAAAGGGATCTAACAATCTACCAAGTTTTGTGTAGATAAGATAAAACATGTAGGAGGAGTTGTGATGATAAGGTTGGTGCTGGACAGGGTAAAATTTTTAAGCTGAAAAGGGGCATACATTTTGTAATTCTAGAAAACTAAATTGATGGGAACATCGTAACTTTTCAAAAATGATGCCCATCATATCTTACTAGCAAGTTTCATTATGTTTCAGACAGAAATCCATACCCCTTGAGAAATGCTGTTCAAGGAAACGTCATACTCCCTTAACCAAAAATAGAATTGTTCAAGAAATCTTTTATGTATTCTAGACCATTCTTGTGGAACAATTTGCCAATATCGTTATGAAATATTACAAATGTTAATTCTTTCAAATACAAAATAACAGATCATTTATTGAAATCAACCAGTTGAAAAAATATTGGATATTAATTATTTTATTATGTTTATTATATTTTCATAACATTTTATGCAGTTGTATTGAACATTATCATTATACATGTACTTGACTTTTATACTAATGTATGCCATGTATATGTTTGCATTTTTGTTTATGCTTTTTCTATGATGAGGGCCTCAGGGAAGATTAGTTGTATGCTAACTGTGTAACCCTCTTAAAATAAAGTATTGTTGTTGTTGTTGTTGTTACCACATGTACATCAGCATAATATGTATAAGGATATAAAAATGTACTAAGTAACATGTAGACATGATAAACCATGTAGGATGAGTTGCAAAAACTGAATAAAAAAAGATAAAAATTTCTAAGGTAAAAGGGGTGAAAACTCTTGATAAACTTAACAGAATAAAAAAATCCTTCACATGGTGATATTTGCATAACATGATAAACAATTCAACAAAGTTGCAAGTGAATCAAACAAAGGATTAAGAAGTTGTTCTGGACATAGAGGAGGATACACCCCCTGGTGTTTGAAACAGCAATGCAATGTAAAGTTTTCAAAAATATATTTGATCAACAAAATGGAAATAGGACAATCATCTGAGTAAAATTGACTCTTGCTACTGAGTGTACAAACAAAGCATATATTGGAGAGCTGTCTCATTGGCAATCATACCACATCTTCTTATTTATATATATATCCCCCCCTCAGTAATTGTAAATTTACTTGTGTCATTTCTTGTGCCTCTTTTCTCCTAGCAGCCATGTGTTCTGATTCCTCTAATAAATAATCTATTTCTTCTTTCTTGTATAATTGACTAACTAATTCACTTTGTAAATTGTCTTTCACATGGTTTACCAAGAAATGCATGATAGCTTTTGGAACATTATCTTGTATATTCTTTTTGACTATTAGGAAATAACTGTTTATTAATCTCTCTGAAAAATAACATACAAATGGATTAGTTATCACTTTAATTTGTTCATATGGTAAAACATGTGTAAGCTGGCACCATATTTAATAATTCATATAAAAATAAGGAAAAGTGATATAATTGCCAATGAGATAAGTATCAACCAGAGTTCAAATGATGTGGATATAAGCAATTATAGGTCACCATAAAGCCTTCAACAATCAGAAAAAAACCAATAATTTATAGCCAGCTACAAAAGGCCACCACATGACAGATGTTAAACAAATCAAAGAGAAATCTAACAGCCTAATTTGTAACAATACAATTTACAAATAAAGCATTGATTGTAGTTGATTCAACTATAATCATGGACAAAGGAAGATAACTCCAAATTTAAAAATTACTTGATATTTAGAAGAAAATAAGAATTTTGCAATTTTTCCATTTATAAAGGGGCATAACTCTAGAACAGTTAAAGTGATGCCACCAAAATTCAAACTTGATCTGTGTTTAGTGGTAATAAGCATTGTGTATAAGTTTCATAACATTTGGTTGAGGCAAACTTAAGTTAGAGAACGGAAACTAAACATTTTGCAATTTTTCCATTTATAAAGGGCATAACTCTAGAACGGTTTAAGTGACGCCACCAAAATTCAAACTTGATCTGTGTTTTGTGATAATAAGCATTGTGTATAAGTTTCATAACATTTGGTTGAGGCAAATTCAAGTTAGAGAACGGAAACCAATTTTGGGACGTACGGACTGACGTACGTACGTGTAGCGGTACGTACAGACCGACAAGGGTAAAACTTAATGCCCCCACCGCTACAACGGGGGCATAAAAACGTATATGACAGAAAAGAATCAACAACAACCACTAAATTACAGCCTTCAGATTTTGGACATGAACATAAAGAATGTGGCAGGGTAAAATATGTTTAGTTGGGTCTTAATATTTTTGAAACTCATCTTATTTTATTGTGATCTAGAACAAATTTTCATTGTATTAATAACCTTACCTATTACATCACAGTCCCTCTGTTCTCTTTGGGAAAGTTTCCTTGTTGTTTGTTGATTTGGCTACAACAGAAAACATGATGAATGATATGTGTCACATTCCTTTTTTTATTATTGAAAGTGGTATTGTTTGTCATGGGCTGTAAACATTGTCATTTCTAGCCACATAAATTTACTGTCAGTTTAACAATTTTCACTTATAATTACACCTTATACAAGTATCCTTGATTTTGATTGGTTGATAGCTGGTATATTTTTATTGTCTAGATAACAACAGATTTAAAAAGATTTCAATTATAAAAGCTTACCACATTATCAAGTAAATTAATACCCTTCCTAGAATGTGCTGGTGAATTAACTACACTACTAGAAGCACTTCCTGGTTTGGATCCCTGTTCTGATGTACTATCAGCATCAGATCTTCCAAAACCTAACTTCCATCCTTTGGTTGTTACCGCTTCATGTGCACTCTGAAAAAGTTTGACCATTTTATTCAGAAAATCTCAAGATAATGTACCCTTCAACTATCAACAGTATACATGCATCAATCTGACAAATTTTTAGGGAACTGATGAGTAAAATAATTATGATTCCTAGCAATAAGTCCTTCACAGTAATACTTATTGGATAGATTAAATCAGTTACATATGTCACAAGAAAAATAGAATGCATTTAAAATGTTGTGTGCAGATGTGCAATTATTTTGGGCTGTAAAAGAAATATTTCTTTATCCTAAATTCACATTTATCTCAGTCCCAAGTTCCCAACACAATTTTTTGGTTGTAAAAAATAAGGGTTATAACCCAGTTGCTTTTGTTTCAGATAGACAAAAGATTGATAAAATATCTTTCTGAATAAATAGAAATTAAATGTATACCTCTTTTGAATAACTGAAACACTTTTCGTGTTATCATCTTTAGCTGATATGGTGTTGTATTCTGTTATAATATATATGTCCAATATTTTTGGGTAATTCATGATGTCTTTTTAAAAGGTTTTAAAAATTATTATATTATATTCTGTTACAAACCAGCAATTATCATGTATTAAATTTCTTGTAATAACTGTGCTCTATAGAGCATCTTTAATTGACTGTACATTTTTCGTATTAGTACAGACAGTCTAAACTCACATGCTATGCCACATGCAACTGATCTGTATTGACAAATATTGATCTAATAAGTTATATTCTAACATTATATACATGTATTACCTCAATTTCAAATTATTTCTACTCATCCTGCTTTCGTCTAGAATCTTGTAATCTATGGTCAAATATTGATCTGATAAGTCATATTCTAATGTTTTATACCTATTACCTCAATCCATATTATTTGTACTCACCTGCTTTGGTCTAGAATCTTGCACTCTATTTTGTTCGATAGATCTATGATGGTCAAAGGAATGACCTAAACTATTGCCTTCTGACAATGCTTTATGTATTAAGTGTGCTTCTGTAAAGTCTGGATGTTTTGTATTTATATAGGCTAACTCAATGGACATCAAATTTTCTACCTGGTAAAAGGAAATAAACATTTTTTAAAGTTGTTACTATTTTCTTAATATTTTTCATACATAGTTTCCATAATAGTGGTCTCGAGTCAATATAAACTTTTCATTTCCCTTTTTTATGTTGCATGGTTTCATGATTAATGTAATCTTTCAATTTCACTGTAATATTTCCTCAATGAAACTTGTTCAAATACTTAAAATTATGCCATACAAAAGTTCTTTGATAGATGAATGTTTAACATCAATCTGCTAACCTTTCGACCATTTTGAGATCATGTTGACATATATGTATATCATCCTGCTTTTTATTAAACTTGGATGCTAGGCTGGATCTTAAATGTGGTAACCATATGCAAAGTTATTTGAAAAAAATACTCCATAAACAGACAATTCAAAAACTTAATATTTGATAGAAAATTTTCAGTCATAAGAGCATTACTGAGATGGAATGTTGAGTATGATATGTGGTTTCTATCAAATGCAACAACAAACTTAAATATCAACGGCGTGTCAATAGTACTTTTTGTTTTTGTTTGACTTTGTAAATCTTACCATTGTGTTAGTTGGAGGTAATCTTCTTCGTAAAAGATTTGTGACTACATCTACAATTTTCTCATGTAACTTTGGAAATCGAAGCATCTCTTGCTGTAAAAACATATATATAAATAAATGAAGAATGTGTCCATGGGACACAGATGTCCCCGCTTGTAAATACACAGCAAATTCTGTAATTTTTCAATTAACAAAGGGATATAACTCAAGAAGGGTGAAAGTGATGCCACCTTAATTCGATCTTGATCTGTGTTTGGTGGTGATAAGTTTTGTGTATAAGTTTTATAACATTTGATAGGGGCAAACTTAAGTTAGAGTGAGGAACAGCAAATTTATCAATTTTTCCATTTATAAAAGGACATAACTCAAGAACAGTGAAAGTGACGCTTCCTACATTTAAACTTGATATAAGTTTGGTGGTAATAGGCATTGAGTATAAATTTCATAACATTTGGTTGAGACAAAATAAGATTGCTGAAACTGCAAATGTGCCAATTCTTTCCTTTACAAAGGGATATAACTCGAGAAAGCTGAAAGTGATGCCACCCAAATTCAAAACTTAATCTGTGTTTGGTGGAAAAGCATTGTGTATAAGTTTCATAACATTTGGTTGAGGCAAACTAAAGTTAGAGAACAGAACCTAATTTTGAGACTTACGTCCATACAGACAAGGGTAAAACTTAATGCCCCCTTCGCTTTGGTGGGGGCATACAAATTTCCATTTATTATCTAGGATTATAAGTGCTGAGTTACAGTCTAGAACTTTTTTTTGGTGAATGCTGCTTTAAAAAATAACATAATGCCAAGTCAATAGCCAGCAACCTCTCTCACTAGTTCTAGACAAAATGACTAGAGATCGTAATATGAAAGCAGGAAATGTATCTGTAGCCAAATAATTCAACAGAAATGCACAAGAATATCCACAAAATTACTGTGCAATGCCAGAAATGACAAACCTGCTCCAGATTATCTTCCACTTTGAGTTCTGTTAAGTGAATGGATGAGCTTCTTTTGCTGTCTTTTTTTCTAAGACATAACTTATCAAGAATGTGTCCATACTACACGAATGCCCCACTCGCACTTTCATTTTCTATGTTCAGTGGACCGTGAAATTGGGGTCAAAACTCTCATTTGGCATTAAAATTAGAAAGATCATATCATAGGGAACATGTGTACTAAGTTTCAAGTTGATTGGACTTCAACTTCATCAAAAACTACCTTGACCAAAAACTTCAACCTGAAGCAGGACAGACGGACGGACGGACTAACGGACTAACGGACGAACGAACAGACGTACAGACCAGAAAACATAATGCCCCTACTACTATCGTAGGTGGGGCATAAAAAGCTCAAAGCCTTATATATCTTGTAACATAACTGAACCTAAAGTGGCATTGAATATTTAGGACAAACAGGACATCAATTTTTCAAAAGAACATAAGAACATCTATAGCACTTCTACAGACCTTAGAAATTCAAAATTTTGAATTAACAGCATTTAGGAAAACATAAATACAATATTTATTTTATAAAATTCTAGCTACTCAAAACTGTCCAGAAGCAACCAGTGCAATCACATCAAAATTTTGAAAATTTCCAGCTGTCTTGTATTAATCAACAATGAGGTCAAGGTCAGATGAAACCTGCCAGACAGACATGTACACCTTACAATCATTTCATACACCAAATATAACTGACCTATTGCTTATAGTATCTGAGAAACAGACCAAACCACAAAACTGAATATTAACCAATGAACCATGTAAGTATTCCAGTGGTTGATGTCTGCAATATTTTTTTTTCTCTGTTAATTGTTTTTAGCATACATTAAGCTGTTGGGTTTTCTGTTTGAATTGTTCAACATTTTGGCTTACTATATATGGGTTTGGTCTTTCTTAGTTGAAGGCTGTATGGTATATAGTTGTTTACATCATGGAACTGACAAAGTATGAAAGGTTCTTTTGAACCATTTAGATTTATGAATAATTACATGTATATCAGATGATATAATGGAAAAGAAATGATGTGTTTCAGTTATTCACAAATTTCCAACAAACCCTTGCAAATACCCAGAACATAATTTTTCTTTATATGTAAATCACATCGAATTTAAACATTGGTTCTAATAAAAAAAAAATTATACCTGTGTTCCACAATGTTGTATAATTCTTTGCATTTCTTCATGAACTAATTCTATACAACGTAAACTTGGTTCTTCTAATCGTTTCATTTGTCGCTTTACCAACAGTTCAAAGGATATTTCAGGCACAAACAATGCAGGTCGTGGTCCCTATTAAACACCACATAAATGATTTTAAAATGTTGGAAATTTCATCCTTCAAATCATTAAAGTATGAAAGGTTCTTTGAGAATTTTCAGATGATATGATGGAAAAAAAGGTATGTGGTTAATTTATTCAAGATATAATTACATATTGAATATTGACATTTGCCAAAGTGTAATTGATTCCAAAATTCAAAAGAAAGGTATAAGACATGTAAAATGTAAATAAAGACATAAGAAATATAAAATGTAAATATAGATGTAAGACATGTAAAATGTAAATAAAGATGTAAGAGATTAAAATTTAAATAAAGATGTAAAACATGTAAAATGTAAATATAGATGCAAGACTGTAAATAAAGATGTAAGACATGTAAAATGTAAATACAGATGTACCGGTAAGGCATTCAGTACTTTATCATCAATTTCTAACTTACAAAACTATTACCATGGACAAACATTTAAACAATATTAATCTAAACTATTATTAGTTTATTATTTAATGTGTAACAACTTATTACTTGAAAATCTAATTATTAATCAATTTACATTTTATCTGAATTACTAATGCATTATAAAAGCTAATTAACATACCTCTCTTCAGTATGAAAGTCAACTCTTGCATGACTCAGATTTAGGATTGAATGACATGTATAACATGGATTTAGAACAGTACTTTTTGAAGAAAACAAATATCAAGCAAGCAGAGGCAGATTTCGGGTGGGTGTGCCCGGCCCCCCTTTTGTGGGAAAAATTTGGTTGTTTATTTAGGGACCACTGAAGCATGACTGGAGTGGGCCCCTCTTATGGCACTCAGTGACAAACTCTGTGATTTACAAACAAGAGTATAGTGAATACTGTAACAGAAAATGACTGACAAAAACAAATGTTTTATTCACAACCCTATATCTTCTATTTACTTGTTTTTGTAAAAAGCAGCATTATAAATTCCGCAGGTTCAAACAGAAAAACATTAACAGAGACAAATTATTTGAATCATTATAAAAAAGAACTTATCAGGGTATTCAATATTTGTAAGTTGTGTTAATCAGTTATAGATGACATAGCCTTAATAACTACGTTTAACTTACTGTAGCATTCCTTATAGCTGTCAGAATATCAAAAGTTGTGAGGCCCCCTGTGGGATCTACTGATTCTAATGTTCTACCAAAAGTTTCATGAAAGATGTAACAGATCCTTGCTCCTCCACATCTGAAAATACCCAAAACAAGATCAAATATTTTATTTTCCTTATAAAGCTAAAAAATGGAAAATTAGACTAAACCACATATCATGAATTTGTTTCATTATGTTTTTGACACTTTAACATGCTTGAGAACACTGGTGTTCATTTCATATTTAGTCAGATCTATTGAATTCATCATCACCAGCTTTCACCGAGGTTCATTTGATGCATGATTCAGTTTATTATTTTAACAAAAACACAAAACCATTCTAACTGTTGCTTGCTTGGAAAATTGCATATACAGAGACTCCTTATTTCTTAAATAAGTTTATTCTCTCAAGTAATTTATATGTAAACATAATTATTAGAATACTGCAAGTCCAGAAATAGAATTAGAAATGGTTATCTATTTACTTGATATCATTTCATAAACTTCAGAATCTTACAAAATATCAACTGAAGAAGGCAATGCAGGTCAAAAAATTTCAACAGGGTCAATACAGCTTCTTATTGTCATTTTTGTGACAATGAGATTTCCATAGACCAAGATGAGACCTCTGAAAAATCATATAATAAAACATAGGTTACCAAGCTTGTTTTTTTTAGAAAAAGTTGCAAAATTGGAAATTTGTAATTTGCTGACAGCTTTATAATTGACAAATAAAATGCTCTGCAGGGCGCAGCTTGATACGACCGCAGAGATCGAACCCTGAACAGTTGGGGCAAGTATGGACACAACATTCAAGCTTGATACAGCTGTGAATTTGGATTGTGATTAAATATTTGACACAGCATAGGTTTCTGACACAGAATGAATGTGGTCTAAGAACTTAAAAATTTTAAATTGGACATTCACCTATGATGGTCCAATATCCAAAATCTAAATACATGGTTAGATTCAGCATATCAAAGAACCCCAAGAATTCAATTTTTGATGAAATCAAACAAAGTTTAATTTTGGACCCTTTTGACCTCAATGTGGACAAAGTTGATAATGGGGCCCAAAAATCAAAAATCTAAATACATGGTTAGATTCAGCATATCAAAGAACCCCGTATATTCAATTTTTGTTGAAATCAAACAAAGTTTAATTTTGGACCCCGATTTGGACCAACTTGAAAACTGGGCCCATAATCAAAAATCTAAATACATGTTTAGATTCAGCATATCAAAGAACCCTAAGAATTCAACTTTTGTAAAAATCAAACTAAGTTTAATTTTGGACCCTTTGGACCTTAATGTAGACCAATTTGAAAACGGAACCAAAATTAAGAATCTAAATACACGGTTAGATTCGGCATATCAAAGAACCCCAATAATTCAATTTTTGATGAAATCAAACAAAGTTTAATTTTGGACCCTTTGGACCTCAATGTGGACCAATTTAAAAACGGGGCCCAAAATCCAAAAACTTAATACACTGTTAGAATCAGCATATTAAAGAACCCCAAGAATTCAAGAATAAAACCCCATTGAAATTGGTCAAGAAATAAGCAATTTATACGAAGTATCTTCTTTTGCACAATACTGTGCAATTGAATATTTCTTGCTATTGCGCAATACTGTACAATTGACAATTTCTTGCTATTGCGCAATATTGTGCTATTGGATATTTCTTGCTATTGCACAATACTGTGCAACTGAAGATTTCTTGCTATTGCGCAATACTGTGCAATTGAAGATTTCTTGCTATTGTGCAATACTGTGCAATTGAAAATTTCTTGCTATTGCACAATACTTATTATATAATAATTTACACATCCTGTTTGGTGTGTATCTCCTACCATATCATTATTATTTGCTTTTAAATATAAAACAGAAATAACCAACTTAAAATGGAAAATTTTAAAAGAAAAAAAAAAGGAAAAAAAGAAAAAAAAGGAAAAAAAAAAAAAAAAATCCCCCCCCCCCAAATTTTTTGAACCCCCTTATGATTCATCACCCCCAAACTCAATCCCAGTCTTCCCTTTGTGGTATGGTTCCTTGCAGTACAATTTCAGAGAGATCCATACACTTGAACACAAGTTATTGTCTGGAAACTAGAAAAATGCTTATTTTTGGCCCCTTTTTGGCCCCTTATTCCTAAACATTTTGGGCAATTACCCCCAAACTCAATTCCAGCTTTCCCTTTGTTATATGGAACCTTGTAGTACAATTTCAGAAAGATCCATACACCTACACACAAGTTATTATCATGAAACTAGAAAAATGCTTGTTTTTTGCCCCTTTTTTTGCCCCTAATTCCTAATATTTTGAGGCAATTACCCCCAAAATCAATCCCAGCATTCCCTGTGTGATATGGAACCTTGTGGTACAATTTCAAAGAGATCCATACACTTGAACACAAGTTATTGTCTGGAAACTAGAAAAATGCTAATTTTTGGCCCCTTTTTGGCCCCTAATTCCTTAACTGTTGGTACCATAACCCCCAAAATCAATCCCAACTTTCCTTTTGTGATATGGAACCTTGTAGTACAATTTCAGAAAGATCCATACACTTACACACAAGTTATTGTCATGAAACTAGAAAAATGCTTGTTTTTTGCCCCTTTTTTGGCCCCTAATTCCTAATATTTTGAGGCAATTACCCCCCAAAATCAATCCCAGCATTCCCTGTGTGATATGGAACCTTGTGGTACAATGTCAGAGAGATCCATACACTAACACACAAGTTATGTCTGGAAGTTACAAAAATGCTTATTTTTGGCCCCTTTTTGGCCCCTAATTCCTTAACTGTTGGTACCATAACCCCCAAAATCAATCCCAACCTTCCTTTTGTGGTATTGAACCTTATGGTAAAATTTCATAAAGATCCATTCACTTAAACTAAAGTTAGAGTGCGAAAACCAATGTGTCTTCGGACGACGACGACGCCAACGTCATACCAATATACGACCGCAAAAATTTTTTGCGGTTGTATAAAAACTAGAATATTTGTATATTTGGCAATAAAATAGCCAAATTAAGTTTTTTTTTCAAAAGCTCTGATAAATGTGCATAAGAGGAAAATAAAATTGCATGTCAACAGTTTTGTTTCATTTTAAAACTTGATTTTTTGTATTAGAGAAAACTCTGATTGTTCCTAAAAATGTATTTCCAGGATTTTGCTAGGAAAATCACTTTCAATGTTTTGAAAAGTTTAACAATGTCTCCCCCCAAAAGCAGTGAAAAACAGGAAAAATTCTATCAAAAAACAAATATTTGTCTTCTGTTTCATTTAAAAACGACAAAACATTTTTCAGATTTTAAGTCCTGTAGTTATATTTTGTTATTAGGACATTATAGAAACAATGTGTCTCTCTGGGTTACTTATATTTTTTCATACAAATGTTCATTATCATTTCCCCCTGAAACTTTATCAACTCCCCTAATATCACTTACAATTCTGTGGTTTCAATATTTTTAGCTGTTCCCTCTATGGTATTACAGTAAGCTGCTGCAAATCTTGTGATAATCTGTAGTAACAACTGACTCTGAAAAATGTCAACATACAACAATTAATATCTGAAATTTATTCTTACCACTAAATGGCTAAATAAACTGTTCATAGCTGATAAACCTGCTTTAAAATAGCATTTTGTATTAACTTACAAAAATTTGTCAGACATTTGCTTCCTTTCAAGCTCAAACTTTTGTGTATTACCTCATAGCACTTAAAGACATTACTTAAAACATTTTTAATTTTTAATTACAAATCCTCATACCAGGTTTATTAGTGTCTGCTAATGTAATACACACGACTAATTTGATTTAATTTAAAACAGATGAAAAAACTTATATTGTGAGTAAATTCAGGTCTGCACAAAATTCCTTCTTTCATTTTAATTATTCAGTCATTTAAAAAACCTTCACATGGCAGCATAAGTGTTAACTTATCAAATCTCCAGTGTGAAATAGATTTTAGCTAAAATATGTTGCAAAACCCATTTCACATTTTTTTTAAAGATTTTATGTTAAATAAAAATCATGACTGTTTCAAATACAGTGTTCTCCCCAGGCCCTTAAAGGACCGCGGGCCCGCGATGTATAATTTTTTACCGTGGTGGTATTGTTCTTACCGCGATGTATAATTTTTCTCCGTGGTGCTAAAATTTTCAGTTAAAAAATCGTAAATCGGTAAAGTTTTAAACGACTTGTTAAATCTTTTCCGTGCGGTATAAAATTCCAGGCGAAATTTGACCAGTTCAAACCAGTTCAACACGGATTGTTTACACCACGTGATCGATTTACCTTTATGAGGTTAACCTTTGTTGATTGGATTTAATCGATGTAATTAACACTTGTTACATGATTCTTTTGTGTTTTAATTTAGAGATCATAACTTTATGATCAAGATAACTATTTTAAGGCTTCACTCACCACCTGACAAGTCGGCAAATACTTTGTACACAAACCGTGTTGACCCGATAGTTGTACACACGACGGTACATATTTTGTACATTATAAAGTTAGCTCAATACTTATATTATAGTTTTATATGTCTCTGATTAAACCATGGCCAAAATTATCTTTATTTATGAAATAGTTATTGCATGATATTCCGTTTTCAAACTGTCAACAAGTAATTCAAAGGGGAAGGACCACATGACCCAGTTAGTTCACGTAGAATATTCAAGATTATTTACAATTAACTGCAATCTATTCTATTTTATAAATAAAATGCTTGACTGTACCTTCAAACTGGATATCTATATCCATATGATAATTAATGAATAACAGAAGTAATCTTACAAATTTAATCCATAAGCACATGTTAAATCTATTTATATCTACTTCCTGTCATTTAGGCGGGAAAATAGGGAGACTTTGTTGTTGACATTGAATATGGTTACTTATAGATCTATAGACCTATTTTAATCTATAGATTTAGGAATTCTTTCTAAATGGATCATGACAAATAAAGATTTAGATTTCAGTGCAGTATTAAGTCTGTATCTATGTTTGATTATCACCAAAGACAAGAAAGGTTGATATTTACATGTACATGAAATATGGCAAAATGTTTTAAAATTTATGAAAAATTTCTTTTTATTAAAATTTAAGATAGAAACTGGTTCAAATTATAACACAATTTTGTTCTTGTTAATTTTATTTCTCCTTATGACAGGAATCCTTTCACATACAACAACTTTCTTTCTAGAAATTAGAAAGTTTTTTTAAATTGAACATTTTTGTTCTCTTTTGAATCTGGGAACAGTATATCTAACAATATAAAAAATATATATGTTCCTGTTTGAATGATATTTTATTTTTATTGATCATGGATTTTGTAAAAGATTTAATTACTTTAAATTTAGATGAATATTATGTAATGAATCATGTTTTAATTATTTTTAAAAAATATTAAAAGTATACAAACTGTTTATTGATCTTTTTAACCAATAATATTCTGACATAACACAGTACCACAGTATTAAAACAAAACAAGAGATATAAAAACTGCAGTAACTAGAAATATAGCGACGCCACGCGACACAACTGATTGTATGAATCATTTCACCAAGCTGTTCACACGCGTTACCCTGGTGCTATCCAAAAATCCTGGGGAGAACACTGAAATATTTTCCTATCAACATTTAAAATAATCCTAAACATCAATGAACCAATTTATAATTAATTGATTGACGTCCAGGGGGTGAATCAATTAATATAACAAGAAGTCAGGTTGCTTTAACTTTCTATTATGTAATAAAACAGTGCATTGCAATAATTTGTCCATTTTTTCAAGAAAAACAATTAAATGTAGAGAAAAAAGGAAGAGTGAGAGTGATTTTAGGAGATTTCAAATCTCTAATAATGTTCTTCATAAGAGATTTTCAAATTCAAAAAAAAAAATTGTGAGACTCCAACCAATATCTGAAGACATGACATCAATATAAAAAAGTTATAGATATCAAGTTGTTCAAAATCATATTTCCATGCACATACTTAAACAACTCTTTATAATCTTTACAAATAATACAGGAGGACTTACTTTGTCATCAACTGGTTCACCAAATGAATTGAGTAGTGACTGGAACTGGGCAATCAATACATTTACTCTTGTCTTTAATTCTGGCAAACAGTCCCTAATGTGATGCATCAATAACTGTAATGATAGGAAATATTTATAGTGAGTATTTTGGTCTTTACATCTGTGGGAGGGTGAATACCATGGAGCTGTCATATACATATTCATTAATATTTTACTTTATTTTTCAAAATAAACATTTTATTAATCCAGTTTCTGGAACAGCAAAATGATAATGAGAATATGCAGTATCATTATCTGTAGTAAGATTTAAGCAAATCTGAAGAACAATGACAAGACAAGGCCATTCCAAAGCCATTCTTTGGTTCAATTTTATATTTGTCTCATGCCCTTCAATTCTGAATATCTATACTACTAAATTGACTAAGTCCAACTTGTTAGCTGGCATGACGTAAATACGACTAATCAAAGAATTCAACTTTATATTATTAGTTACATGGTGTGTTAGCGACCTAATACGATATATATAGAGGGTCAGTAAATTCTATATGGGGTGAGAGCAAAGCTAATCCCCATATGGAATTTACTGACCCCATATATATCATATTAGGTCCCTAGCACACTGCGTAACGAATTTATCTTACCGACTATCTTCACGTGGTATTTAGACTAGCGGCCTATCAAAGTGATTAAGTCTTCAATACTTAGTATTAAGAACCTACTTCCATTTGTCTATACAAAAAACAAACGCCAACAATAACAACTTGTTAGCTTTAAATTTGTTTTATGAATTTATTTCAATCGTTCATTATCAATTTCTTCGTCTGTTGAAACCTTTCAGATTTCTTTTTTGTTTTGAAAGGGAAGTAACTCCATACTAACCCCGTATTTTTTTAGGACACCCTATATCAAATATATTTAGTCACCACGTGTAGTCCTTTAACCAATCATATCCCTAGAAATCTAAAGGAGTTAAGATAAATAACTAATATAGGACAATTAACAATTAACAAGAGTGCACACACAGAAATGTCTAGCCTGTTTTACTTATCAATGAATTCATGTTGAAAGTCTGTTAGGCCAACTAAAATTAGATTTTCATCCAAATGTTTGAAAAAAATGGGGTGGGTGGGTGGGTGGATTTTATTTTTTAATTTTTATTCCTCAGTAACTCCTTTACAATGAGTTCTTCATAAGCAAGGGTAATAATAAGCTTATGTCATGTTTATATAAGGAATTCTACAAATTTTTTCAAATTCTTAAATAAATATTTCTGATTGGTAACGACTGTTCTGCATGTAATTGCTGCTTTAGAAACCTATTTTAAGTAAATAGCAAAAACAAGAAGAAATGCCCTCTTTTAGACTACCTACATCAAATAGGTTTGCTTTCTAAGCTAAGGTTTGTAGTGCCCATGAAATGTGGTGTATGCAACACAAGAATTATGAGTACATTTATGTACATAGTGAAATGAAAACTCAAACTGTGTTGAAAATACTAGGGTTGATGCTTTTAAGATTCTTATGCAATGTGCAAATTGTTTTTATTTTATTAAATTACAATGTAAAACATGAACTTAACCAAAAGGAAGAAGTTGTTTAATGAAACTATTGAGGGGCTGGTGACAGAAAGTGTTTGATGTTTGTCAACAAAAAAACGACAGCCTTGGGGTAAATCTAAGGGCTAAGCCTTTCTTTAATACATTTTGTACGTTGGCCGACTGCTTGTACTCAAAAGATCAAAAATATATATACGACTATAAATCGCATAAGTTAATTTGTTCTTGTGTCAATTTCTTCATTCCAGTCATGTTTTTGTACCAATGTGTTCCACGATTCTTGCGTCTGGATATCATCCAAATTTCCTGGCACAAAGTCATTGTTTAAATAAAAAAAAAAAATGGTTTTCAAATCACTGAAATGTGTGCCATACCTCGATTTGCGTTCTTGGATACCACCTATTACTCGTAACCCGAGTATTTCATGTTCTTCTGTAATCAATCTCTATTCGCAGAAGATACTGTTGTCATCATAGAGCAGCAGAATATGTCGACTTAATCATTTTGGTTAAATTACTCAAAGAAATACGACAAATTTGCAAAAGGAAGTTTTGAATGAAACTAAACTATTGACGGTTACAGATAACGGAAATGAACAAAACCCGGAAATCGTAAATTTTCAAAAATAAAAAAAACAGACATGTACACCTCACAATTGTTTCATACACTAAATATAATTGACCAATTGCTTATAATATCAAACCACAAAAACCAAAAAATGTCCAATGAACCATGAAAATGAGGTCGCGGTCAGATGAAACCTGCCAGACAGACATGTACACCTGACAATCATATCTTTTTTTTATATTTGATTTTTGAGTGCTTTCCCTGATTAAATAGATATAAGAAGGTGTGGTATGAGTGCCAATGAGACAAATCTCCATCCAAGTCACAATTTATAAAGGTAAACCATTATAGGTCAAAGTACGGTCTTCAACACGGAGCCTTGGCTCACACCGCACAGCAAGCTATAAAGGGCCCCAAAAATTACTAGTGTAAAACCATTCAAACGGGAAAACCAACGGTCTAATCTATATAAAAAACGAGAAACAATTATGAACCACATCAACAAACTACAACTATTGAACATCAGATTTTCTAATGTATATTTAAAGGAACAATCATTCAAATTGATCTACATGGATGAAAGGCTTTTTCAGGAATGCAAAGGTTTTACTTTCTTATTAAATACATGTTTGTACATTTTCCTAAAGAATATAATTTTTCAATACTATCTTAATATAGTGTACATCATTATTTACATATTGTTATACATACCCTGTTAAGAGTCTTAGCTAAGAATAATGTACCATTTCTATTTGCTATGGATGGATATTTTCTTTGCAGGTATGATGCCTCATCTGTCAAAGCATCTTTCATTTCCTAAAACAACAGATCATCACAAATGTTTTATCTTTTATTTTTCCCCCCATTTGTTTGACATGTTCATTCTAAATATAAATTGTTATAATCATAAAATTTTACTAATTTTTCCAGTCCCTTCTGACCTATACATTTTTTTCTTAGAAATCCCAAATTTCATATCTTCATGAACAGGAAATTCAGTAATTGATCGATAGCAATATAAACAATATTTTGTCACTACATTGATGGCAAGGTAGTGTAATTCACTAATTATCACTATAACTATACATGTGGCCCAAGAACACAGTTATTTCGTAGTGTATTTCTATTAGACAAAAATGGGGAATGTGTCCATGGGACACAGATGATGTCCCCGCTTGAATATAATGTTATAAAGGGATATAACTCAAGAACTGTAAAAGTGACGCTACCCAAATTTGTACTTGATCTGAGTTTTGTCGTAATAAGCATTGTGTATAAGTTTCATAAAATTTGGTTGATGCAAACTGAAGTTAGAGAAAGGACGTTCAGACTGATAAGGGTAAAACTTAATGCCCCATCCGCTACGGCGGGGGCATAAAAATTGCAAGTGATACACTGTCTACACTAGGGACTCTATTTGTAGACAACGATAATCAAAGGATGATAGCTGTGTCCCTGGAGGAAGTATCATGAAAAGTTCGCAAACTTCAAAAGAAACCAGCTAAATCAATTAAAATCATTTATCTTATCACAAAATATATTGTTCAACAACCAAAAAACTCATAATAAATAACTGGTAGACATGCAGAAATCCCCAAATCACATTAATATATTTGTTCAAATCTCTTTAAAATTAAGACTTGAAAAGTAACATGCACAACTAGACAAGATGGTTATGGAAAGGGAGATAACTATTGATAATATGGGGGACAAATGACAGGAAACTTTGTTTAATGGTTTGCATCAATAAAATGCCTCAAAAAATGAAGCAAATTACATCAACACAGCTAGAAGTTTGAAATAATTATTTGATGAATTGTCCGAACATTTACATTTCTATGTTGCAAACCATGAGTAAAGGAGTTTATGCACTGATAAATTGATGTTTTATAAATAATTAATAAATAACTGCTACAAAGTTAAAATAAAATGCTCCGCAGGGCGCAGCTTGATACGACCGCAGAGGTCGAACCCTGAACAGTTGGGGCAAGTATGGACACAACATTCAAGCTTGATACAGCTTTGCATTTGGATTGTGATTAAATATTTGACACAGCATAGGTTTCTGACACAGAATGAATGTGGTCTAAGAACTTAAAAATTTTAAATTGGACATTCACCTATTATGGTCCAATATCCAAAATCTAAATACATGGTTAGATTCAGCATATCAAAGAACCCCAAGAATTCAATTTTTGATGAAATCAAACAAAGTTTAATTTTGGACCCTTTTGACCTCAATGTGGACAAAGTTGATAACGCGGCCCAAAAATCTAAATACATGGTTAGATTCAGCATATCAAAGAACCCCATATATTCAATTTTTGTTGAAATCAAACAAAGTTTAATTTTGGACCCCGATTTGGACCAACTTGAAAACTGGGCCCATAATCAAAAATCTAAATACATGTTTAGATTCAGCATATCAAAGAACCCTAAAAATTCAATTTTTGTTAAAATCAAACTAAGTTTAATTTTGGACCCTTTGGACCTTAATGTAGACCAATTTGAAGACGGAACCAAAAATTAAGAATCTAAATACACGGTTAGATTTGGCATATCAAAGAACCCCAAGAATTCAATTTTTGATGAAATCAAACAAAGTTTAATTTTGGACCCTTTTGACCTCAATGTGGACAAAGTTGAAAACGCGGCCCAAAAATCAAAAATCTAAATACATGGTTAGATTCAGCATATCAAAGAACCCCATATATTCAATTTTTGTTGAAATCAAACAAAGTTTAATTTTGGACCCCGATTTGGACCAACTTGAAAACTGGGCCCGTAATCAAAAATCTAAATACATGTTTAGATTCAGCATATCAAAGAACCCTAAGAATTCAATTTTTGTTAAAATCAAACTAAGTTTAATTTTGGACCCTTTGGACCTTAATGTAGACCAATTTGAAAACGGAACCAAAAATTAAGAATCTAAATACATGGTTAGATTCGGCATATCAAAGAACCCCAATAATTCAATTTTTGATGAAATCAAACAAAGTTTAATTTTGGACCCTTTGGACCTCAATTTGGACCAATTAAAAAAACGGGGCCCAAAATCCAAAAACTAAATACACGGTTAGATTCAGCATATCAAAGAAACCCAAGAATTCAAGAATAAAACCCCATTGAAATTGGTCAAGACATAAGCAATTTATACGAAGTATCTTCTTTTGCACAATACTGTGCAATTAAATATTTCTTGCTATTGCGCAATACTGTACAATTGACAATTTCTTGCTATTGCGCAATATTGTGCTATTGGATATTTCTTGCTATTGCGCAATACTGTGCAATTGAAGATTTCTTGCTATTGCGCAATACTGTGCAATTGAAGATTTCTTGCTATTGTGCAATACTGCGCAATTGAAAATTTCTTGCTATTGCACAATACTTATTATATAATAATTTACACATCCTGTTTGGAGTGTATCTCCTACCATATCATTATTATTTGCTTTTAAATATAAATCAGAAATAACCAACTTAAAATGGAAAATTTTAAAAGAAAAAAAAAATGAAAAAAAAAAAAATCCCCCCCCCACAAATATTTTGAACCCCCTTATGATTCATCACCCCCAAACTCAATCCCAGCCTTCCCTTTGTGGAATGGTACCTTGCAGTACAATTTCAGAGAGATCCATACACTTGAACACAAGTTATTGTCTGGAAACTAGAAAAATGTGTTTTTTGGCCCCTTTTTGGCCCCAAATTCCTAAACGTTTAGGGCAATTACCCCCAAACTCAAACCCAGCTTTCCCTTTGTGATATGGAACCTTGTAGTACAATTTCAGAAAGATCCATACACTTACACACAAGTTATTGTCCTGAAACTAGAAAAATGCTTGTTTTTTGCCCCTTTTTGGCCCCTAATTCCTAAAATATTGAGGCAATTACCCCCATCATCAATCCCAGCCTTCCCTTTGTGGTATGGTACCTCGCAGTACAATTTCAGAGAGATCCATACACTTGAACACAAGTTATTGTCTGGAAACTAGAAAAATGCTTATTTTTGGCCCCTTTTTGGCCCCCAATTCCTAAATGTTTCGGCAATTACCCCCAAACTCAATTCCAGCTTTCCCTTTGTGATATGGAACCTTGTAGTACAATTTCAGAAAGATCCATACACTTACACACAAGTTATTGTTATGAAACTAGAAAAATGCTTGTTTTTTGCCCCTTTTTTGGTCCCTAATTCCTAAAATTTTGAGGCAATTACCCCCAAAATCAATCCCAGCATTCCTTTTGTGATATGGAACCTTGTGGTACAATGTCAGAGAGATCCATACTCTAACACACAAGTTATGTCTGGAAGTTACAAAAATGCTTATTTTTGGCCCCTTTTTGGCCCCTAATTCCTTTACTGTTGGTACCATAACCCCCAAAAACAATCCCAACCTTCCTTCTGTGGTATTGAACCTTGTGGTAAAATTTCATAGAGATCCATTCACTTAAACTAAAGTTAGAGTGCGAAAACCAATGTGTCTTCGGACGACGCCGGACGACGCCAGACGACGACGACGCCAGACGACGACGACGACGACGACGCCGGACGACGACGACGCCAACGTCATACCAATATACGAATAAAAATAAAATAAAAATTAAATAAAATTGAAATGATTTCAAGTAATAAGTTAAACACTGTTAAAGTTTTAAAGAAACTGAAAAATGTTTTGAAATAAAATGTGCTGTCTGAATGTTTATTCAGAGACAAACTCACTTTTTGTCTGTGATTAAATTCAATCCATAAAAGTTCATATTTGTTATGATCAGATATTTTCTTACTAAACTCATGTCACTAGTCAACTTGACCATCATTTTCACTTCAGGATGTTGACATGTACGTATGCATCAATTTGATCATTTATCACAGGAAAACATGCAATACTTCAAATTTCTTTTATTATCAGACAAGAAATTCCAAATTTGATTTCTGAAATGCAAACCTAATGATTGATGTTTTTATTATTATTTCACATTTGATATTTATTTACTGTCTCAACTACTTATCAATACCAATGAATTTAAACTTCTGAACATAAAAGACAAGATTTTTTGTCACTTTTTCGTGATTTATTTTCTTCACAGCTCTACATAGTACATATGGGTTTTTTTTTCAAGATATTTTTTTTCAAAGATATGAATGATCAAAAACTCTATTAAATGAACATTTCACCTTTCTATGATTGATGTCAGCTTGACTTCTGTTGACAACACCGATAATACCAAGTTTAACAGGAATGACACGACCACATAAAGCTTCCATTGCATCTGTTCCATGATCCATCAAATCTAATTTGGTTACTACTGCTAAAGTTCTGCGACCTACAAAATATAATCACTTTAAATAAAAAGTTTTAAGTTATTGATGCATTGAGTTCTGATACTGTGGTTCTAAAACAATTATACCTAACATCAGAAAAAAATCTTGAAAAAGTTTCATAACTACATGGTTTTTTTTGGTGTTTTTTCAGAGTTTCAATAGTTGAGACAGTTAACGTTATTATCTGTTATTTTGATGGTTCAATCAAAGTTTGGAATTTGCGTTCAATCAAATTTTATTAAAACCTCTTTTGTTCAAAAGCAATCAATTATCTGAATAACAATGACTTAATATTGATGGTACATGTACTTGGTGTACTTTTTCATTAAAAAAGGTTAATCAGAAATTAAGTATTTATGATATCTAAGGTTACTGTCAGTATTTATAAAGTTGAGGAATGGGAGAGGGAATGAAAAAACACAATTTTCACCAACCATCTGGATCCATATCTTTTGCAAGTTTTAATGACTCTGAAGTAGCCATATCTGTATTAGCTGCTGTCACTGCTAGTATAATAGAGTTGGGATTGCTGATGTATTTATGACTCATCTCTATAATCTGGTCCTCAATGTCCTCTGGCTGATCTCCAACAGGAACCTTAGTCAATCCTGGGAGGTCAACTAATGTCAAGTTTACAACCTTTGATGAAAATACCTTTAAACTTATAGGCTCTGGACAAACTCCCTGTAAATATAAAGAAATACTTCATTTCACATGTAATCTGCTGAAACCTGATTTTAAACTACAATACTTAAAACACAAAATTGATTCTTGGGGCTACAATCAAACTACACTGGAAACAAATAAATTTCAGATTTCTATCCTACAAATATCAATCCACTTTGTTGTCTGAAAATCTCGATTTTCTTCATCCCTTTGTGTGTTTTTTTTATTATTAATTATTACAGATACATGTAACTAAATGAAAGGGGTTGTATATGGTAATGTACACCATATTCATTCCACTTTAAGCATAGATGAGACAAAACTAAACCCAAAATAAAATAGTTTGTATTTCATGCAAAATATCCTATCATATCGGTTCCTTAAAACACCAGGCACTCTAGAAAAGCACTCAGAAATAGAATCTTTGACAGGGTACCTAAAATTACTTTTGAGAATTACATGCATGAAACATAGAGTGGAAAAACATGTTTTTAACGCCTTCCAAGAATTCATATATATTTAATAAGATCAACCCTACAAAATTGTCCACTGATCAAAATACACACAAATTATCTGTTTTATCAAGTCTACTTATCAGTAAACTTCTCTTGCTTCATTGTCATCTTTCCTTATGCTGACAACAAAAACTTCAAAGCTAGACTTTATATTAGCAACTGAAAGTTTAATTTTATTTTAACCTTATTCTGATTTGAGGTACAGATATTTTTGTGTTAAACAATTATTGAGCAAAGGTGGACAATCAATTAAATATTTTTATGTGAAAAGCTAACACAGTTTTAAACAGAATGTAATTTTAAAATACTGTCACTGTAAAAATGCTGTCACTGTAAAAATACTGTCACTGTAAAGGAACAGTGTTCAAATATCTCTACAGATGCATTTACTTATTCTTTATTTCTGATTGTTCTTATGAACTTTTTTATAAATATCCTACAAGAAATTTAGGCATCAGATCGGTTAAAATAACATTTTCCATATTTTTTTAAACTGAGGCGGTGTTGCAAATTAATCTCCATGGAAATAAGATGTGCCAATGCTTATACAACTGCATACCAAACTACATTGACCTACCACCAGTGGTTTCCCTTAAACTAACCTAATCACAAACTAATACATGTTAGATAAGCAAAAGATTCATTCAATGGACCATGACTGAGGGCCATAGCCAAATTATTTCCATGGAAATGAGATGTGCCAATGCTAATAGAATTGCATACCAAATATCATTGATCTACCACTGGAGGTTCCCCTTAAACTGGCCTAGTCACAAACTACCCTCTTTAAATAAACAATTATTATTATTATTAAATTATTATTAATACATTGTTGTTGCCGCTGACACCGAAGCAGGAAACAGCACGCCTAAGTATTGCCTTTTTCAATTTTTTCAAGGCAAGACAAAAATCTAGCAAGAATTGTACATGTGAGACTTTCAAGACCGTACTGACAGATGGAAATCTGTAATCGAAGACATATTTGATAACAGCAAAAACTAGATATCATTGAGATGGGAGCCATCTCTGTGGGCCCCGCTGTGAATAATGTGTGGTAAAAAATTTGTATCTTTATCATTTGACATGGGGTTGTCAAATGAAACCAAAGTTTTTGACCTTGACCTTTTACCTAGGAAGTTGTACATAAATTATGACACACCCTCTGGTGTTGGTTTACATACATATGAAGTATAAACTTTGAAATCATAACGGTTCTAAAGATATAGAGCGGATACCATCTTTATCATAGGACATGGGGTTGTCAACTAAAACCAAAGTTTTTGACCTTGACCTTTGACCTAGGAAGTTGTACATACATAATGACACACCCTCTGGTGTTGGTTAATATACATGTTGAGTATAAACTTTGAAATCATAACGGTTCTTCTGCTTTTATCACATCTGCAATTAACAGGAAGTTTGAAATATACAATGAATAACTGTTTGTTGTTTGGAACTATTACTCTCCAAATTAAAGGTTTCATTAAGAAATCACACATTAAGGACACAATTCATAATTACCTGAAATAGAAGAAAGATCAGCAAAATTGTATTATTCTGTATTTCCTTTGAAGTTAGTGTTGGCTAGCTGTAGTCACTAAATAGGACCAGCTATATTTGGATCAAATGCATAGACTGACATGAGATGAACTGGCATTTTTGTATAAATGTGAACCAAATAAAAATATTTTGAATCCTAACCCCAATAAAAGAGGTTATATTTAACTAACTATTATCAAAAACATTTGTTATTCCTATTCTATTGAAAATATGCATGCACAGTCATTGACAGTACATCCAGCACATTGACAGTACATCCAGTATATTGACAGTACATCCAGCACACTTTTGAAGGAGTTGTCAACATTAAAGATGAAAAAACTGGGTTCACCATTTTTACCAGAAAGAACATTCAAGTTGCATATACATTTTGTACATATACTCATGTTGTTCATAATTTGGTTTCTTGTACATTTTGTGTAATAGGAATGAAACAACTGCACATTTATTTTTCAAATAGAGAAATATTCCTGAATATGCATGCAAAATTTGTCATTACAAAAACAAATGACCAATCAATCAAATACTGAAACCATGTTATAATATTTCAATTTGAATAATATGATAATTAATGCACAATGAAGAAACATACACTAGTAAATCACTGTGACTATAGACATTTCATTAACTGTTAGTTGGTTAACGGTTAAGCAAGCTACTTAAAGGGAATTACTGTAAAATATGATATGCTGCAATGAAAAAACTAGAGGCTCTCAAGAGCCTGTGTCGCTCACCTGATTCTACTATGGTTTTGGAAATCAATGGTTCTCTAGATATAGAGCGGACACTATTTGTTACGGACGGACGGATGGACGGACGGACAGACTGATCACTATAGGGCGTCCGCCATTCGGCGGGGCCCTAATTAAAAGGTAATCATAGATTACATTTCGATTACTTTAGTAAAAAGTTTGATGAAATATAACCTAGTTCAAATGAAAAAAGACAACTGCATGTACATGTATTCATCAGATTATAGTAGAGATAAAATATGATGTACATTGTACATGTATTAATATGACTTGAGAGTTTATCAAATGACTTTTTCAGACTTCTTGTCTCAATCTGCATTATGATCAACCAGATCTAACAAATTTTACTGTTTTCCAGCTTTTGAAACAAATGACTTTCAATGCTTGTCAATAATTCAAGACATTTTATATCAAAAATAAGAAAATAGTCCTAAGTTAAGTTATGTACTACATAATACTTATTTGTATTAAAATTCCTTAAAGCAAAATTTTCAACAAGAGTTGGAATTTTTTCTTAAAATAGATAAATAATTGATTCGTCATAATGTTATGATATAACAAGAGTGCATACATGAAATGTCTCGCCTACTATACCAACTACTGATTTTATGTTGATAGTCCTAAATATAAAGTTTTACTACAAGTATCACATTAACATTTATGATCCAAGAAAATGAGGTCGACTCAAGGTAAGATAAACCAAGCCAGAAATACATGTACACCTTCAATACAATAATTCCATACACCGAATATAGATGACATACTGCTTATAGTATAAAAGAAACTGACCAAACCATGGAAATTATAAATTGACCAATGGACCATGAAAATGAGGTCAAGGTCAGATGAACCCTGCCAGACAGACATGTACACCTTAAAATCATTCCATGCAGCAAATACAGTTGGCCTATTGCTTATAGTACAAAAATGTATCTAAGAAACAAAGTTAACCAGGAAACTGAACATTGAGCAATGAACCATGAAAATGAGGTCAAGGTCAAATAAAACCTGCCAGACTGACATGTACATCATAAAATATTTCCATACACCAAATATAGTTGACCTACTGAATACAGTATTAGAATAAATTGCTTTGCCGAGCCCAGCTGGATATGACCGCAGAGGTCCAACCCTGAACAGTTGGGGCAAAAATGGACACAATATTCGCGCTTGATATAAGTCTGGATTTGGATTGTAATTAAATATTTGACATATAATAGGTTTCTGACTCAGAATAACTTTAGTCAAAGACTTAGAATTGGTTATATGATTTGAATTTATATTCAATTTTTTGCTTTTGTACAATACACAAAATTTTTTGCGGTCGTATAAAGACAGACTAAAACACAAAAACTTAACATTGAGCAATGAACAGTGAAAATGAGGTCAAGGTCAAATAAAACCTTCCAGACTGACATGTACATCGTAAAATATTTCCATACACCAAATATAGTTGACATATTGCATACAGTATTAAACTAGAGGCTCTCAAGAGCCTGTGTCGCTCACCTGACTCTACTTTGGTTTTAGAAATCATGTAAAGATAGATAAAAATCATAACAGATACCCAAATAATGATTGAGGCCAAATTTTGATTAATATTGGTCCCGTTATTTAATAAAATATCCTGGTGGCCATCTTGAACAGTAAATCGGCAACAAAGTAGCAACACTTGGTCAGCACTTCATAAGGAACATTCATGCCATGTTTGGTTTCATTCCATTCAGTGGTACTCTAAAAGAAGACATTTGTATGTATTTCCCATAGGGTCCTATGTTAAACTAAGCCCCCCCCCCCCCCCCCTAGCGGCCATCTTGGATGATGGATCGACTGCAAAGTAACAACACTTGGTCAGCAACTCATAAGGAACATTCATGCCATGTTTGGTTCAATTCCATTCAGTGGTTCTCTAAAAGAAGACAATTGTATGTATTTCCCATAGGGTCCTATGTTAAACTAAGTCCCCCGCTGTCGGCCATCTTGGATGATGGATCGGCTGCAAAGTAACAACACTTGGTCAACATCTCATAAGGAACATTCATGCCATGTTTGGTTCCATTCCATTTATTGGTTCTCTAAAAGAAGACATTTTTATGTATTTCCCAAAGGGTCCTATGTAAAACTAAGTCCCCCGCTGGGGGCCATCTTGGATGATGGATCAGCTACAAAGTAACAACACTTGGTCAGCATCTCATAAGGAAGATTCATGCCATGTTTGGTTTCATTCCATTCAGTGGTTCACTAAAAGAAGACATTTGTATGTATTTCCCATAGGGTCCTATGTTCAACTAAGTCCCCCGCTGGCGGCCATCTTGGATGATGGATCGGCTACAAAGTAACAACACGTGGTCAGAACCTCATAAGGAACATTCATGCCATGTTTGGTTTCATTCCATTCAGTGGTTCTCTAAAAGAAGACATTTGTATGTATTTCCCATAGGGTCCTATGTTAAACTAAGTCCCCCGCTGGCGGCCATCTTGGATGATGGACCGACTGCAAAGTAACAACACTTGGTCAGCATCTCATACGGAACATTCATGCCATGTTTGGTTCCATTCCATTCAGTGGTTCTCTAAAAGAAGACATTTTTATGTATTTCCCATAGGGTCCTATGTTAAACTAAGTCCCCCGCTGGCGGCCATCTTGGATGATGGATCGGCTACAAAGTAACAACACTTGGTCAGCACCTCATAAGGAACATTCATGCCATGTTTGGTTTCATTCCATTCAGTGGTTCTCTAAAAGAAGACATTTGTATGTATTTCCCATAGGGTCCTATGTTAAACTAAGTTCCCCGATGGCAGCCATCTTAGATGATGGATCGGCTACAAAGTAACAACACATGGTCAACACCTCATAAGGAACATTCATGCCATGTTTGGTTTTATTCCATTCAGTGGTTCTCTAAAAGAAGTCATTTGTATGCATTTCCCATAGGGTCCTATGTTAAACTAAGTCCCCCGCTGGCGGCCATCTTGGATGATGGATCGGCTACAAAGTAACAACACTTGGTGAGCACCTCATAAGGAACATTCATGCCATGTTATGTTTTATTCCATTCAGTGGTTCTCTAAAAGAAGTCATTTGTATGCATTTCCCATAGGGTCCTATGTTAAACTTAGTCCCCCGCTGGCGGCCATCTTGGATGATGGATCGGCTACAAAGTAACAACACTTGGTCAGCACCTCATAAGGAACATTCATGCCATGTTTGGTTTCATTCCATTCAGTGGTTCTCTAGAAGAAGTTCAAAATGTAAAAAGTTAACGCCGACGACGGCGGACGCCGGACGACGCCGGACGACGGACGACGGACGCCAAGTGATGAGAAAAGCTCACTTGGCCCTTCGGGCCAGGTGAGCTAAAAACAGACCAAAACACAAAAACTTAACTTTTGCCACTGAACCATGAAAAATGAGGTCAAGGTCAGATGACAACTACCAGTTGGACATGTACACCTTACAATCATTCCATATACCAAATATAGTAGACCTACTGCTTATAGTATCTGATATATGGACTTGACCACGAAAACTTAACCTTGTTCACTGATCCATGAAATGAGGTTGAGGTCAAATGAAAATTATCTGACGAGCACGAGGACCTTGCAAGGTACGCACATACTAAATATAGTTATCCTATTACTCATAATAAGAAAGAAATTAACATTACAAAAAATGTTGACTTTTTTTTCAAGTAGTCACTGAACCATGAAAATGAGGTCAAGGACAATGGACATATGACAGACGAAAACTTCGTAACATAAGGCATCTATATACAAAGTATGGGGCATCCAGGTCTTAGAGCTTCTAAAATATTAAGCTTTTTAAGAAGTTAGCTAACGCTGCCGCTGCCGGATCACTATCCCTATGTCGAGCCTTCTGCGACAAAAGTCGCAGGCTCGACAAAAAAATCAATAATTGATTACTCAAAAATCCTTCTGAACAAGTAGTCGATAATTAATCTATTACATTTATCAATTATCATGCCCATCCCTAAATTATTGGATACACCGAATTTCTATGTCCCCTGCTCTGAGTTGAACATGGGACAAAAAGAAATATTGATAACATAATTTCTTTACTACTAACTAAATTACAAAACATAAACTTGCCTTATTAGTTCCACCCATTCTATCGGTCTCATTCTCTATTTCCTTTCGAACTTCATCAAAATCTGTGTAAATTTTGTTCTTTGTGTGAAGAAACTTGGCCCATTCTTCTGCTTTTATCGCATCTGCAATTAACAGGAAGTTTGAAATATACAATGAATAACTGTTTGTTTGGAACTATTACTCTCCAAATTAAAGGTTTCATTAAGAAATCACACATTAAGGACACAATTCATAATTACCTGAAATAGAAGAAAGATCAGCAAAATTGTATTAATCTGTATTTCCATTGAAGTTAGTGTTGGCTAGTTGTAGTCACTAAATAGGACCAGCTATATTTGGATCAAATGCATAGACTGACATGAGATGAACTGGCATTTTTGAATAAATGTGAACCAAATAAAAATATTTTGAATCCTAACCCCAATAAAAGAGGTTATATTTAACTAACTATTATCAAAAACATTTGTTATTCCTATTCTATTGAAAATATGCATGCACAGTCATTGACAGTACATCCAGCACATTGACAGTACATCCAGCATATTGACAGTACATCCAGCACACTTTTGAAGGAGTTGTCAACATTAAAGATGAAAAAACTGGGTTCACCATTTTTACCAGAAAGAACATTCAAGTTGCATATACATTTTGTACATATACTCATGTTGTTCATAATTTGGTTTCTTGTACATTTTGTGTAATAGGAATGAAACAACTGCACATTTATTTTTCAAATAGAGAAATATTCCTGAATATGCATGCAAAATTTGTCATTACAAAAACAAATGAACAATCAATCAAATACTGAAACCATGTTATAATATTTCAATTTGAATAATATGATAATTAATGCACAATGAAGAAACATACACTAGTAAATCACTGTGACTATAGACATTTCATTAACTGTTAGTTGGTTAACGGTTAAGCAAGCTACTTAAAGGGAATTACTGTAAAATATGATATGCTGCAATGAAAAAACTAGAGGCTCTCAAGAGCCTGTGTCGCTCACCTGATTCTACTATGGTTTTGGAAATCATGTAAAAATAGATTAAAATCATAACAGATACCCTAATAATGAGTGAGGCCAAATTTGGTTTAATATTGGCCCTATAATTTAATAAATAAAATGCTCCGCAGGGCGCAGCTTGATACGACCGCAGAGGTCGAACCCTGAACAGTTGGGGCAAGTATGGACACAACATTCAAGCTTGATACAGCTATGAATTTGGATTGTGATTAAATATTTGACACAGCATAGGTTTCTGACACAGAATGATTGTGGTCTAAGAACTTAAAAATTTTAAATTGGACATTCACCTATTATGGTCCAATATCCAAAATCTAAATACATGGTTAGATTCAGCATATCAAAGAACCCCAAGAATTCAATTTTTGATGAAATCAAACAAAAACAAGGAATTATTTGAACCTGGAATAATTTGGAATTCTGGAAAATTGATTAGAAATGTATGATGAAAACTAACCCAACTAAATAGGGTTAGCCATGCGTGCATGGCTAAGGTTAATTTTACTTTCACTATCATTTCAGTATGAACTAACTAACCCACCTTAGCCATGCGCGCATGGCTAACCCTATTTAGTTGGGTTAGTTTTCATCATATATTTCTCATCAATTTTCCAGAATTCAAAATTATTCCAGATTCAAATAATTCCTTGTTCAAAGTTTAATTTTGGACCCTTTTGATCTCAATGTGGACAAAGTTGATAACGGGGCCCAAAAATCAAAAATCTAAATACATGGTTAGATTCAGCATATCAAAGAACCCCATATATTCAATTTTTGTTGAAATCAAACAAAGTTTAATTTTGGACCCCTATTTGGACCAACTTGAAAACTGGGCCCATAATCAAAAATCTAAACACATGTTTAGATTCAGCATATCAAAGAACCCTAAAAATTCAATTTTTGTTAAAATCAAACTAAGTTTAATTTTGGACCCTTTGGAACTTTATGTAGACCAATTTGAAAACGGAACCAAAAATTAAGAATCTAAATACACGGTTAGATTCGGCATATCAAAGAACCCCAATAATTCAATTTTTGATGAAATCAAACAAAGTTAAATTATGGACCCTTTGGACCTCAATGTGGACCAATTTAAAAACAGGGCCCAAAATCCAAAAACTTAATACACGGTTATATTCAGCATATGAAAGAACCCCATATATTCAATTTTTGTTGAAATCAAACAAAGTTAAATTTTGGACCCCGATTTGGACCAACTTGAAAACTGGGCCCATAATCAAAAATCTAAATACATGGTTAGATTCAGCATATCAAAGAACCCCATATATTCAATTTTTGTTGAAATCAAACTAAGTTTAATTTTGGACCCTTTGGACCTTTATGTAGACCAATTTGAAAACGGAACCAAAAATTAAGAATCTAAATACACGGTTAGATTCGGCATATCACAGAACCCCAATAATTCAATTTTTGATGAAATCAAACAAAGTTAAATTTTGGACCCTTTGGACCTCAATGTGGACCAATTTAAAAACAGGGCCCAAAATCCAAAAACTTAATACATGGTTAGATTCAGCATATTAAAGAACCCCAAGAATTCAAGAATAAAACCCCATTGAAATTTATCAAGAAATAAGCAATTTATACAAAGTATATTCTTTTGCACAATACTGTGCAATTGAATATTTCTTGCTATTGCGCAATACTGTACAATTGACAATTTCTTGCTATTGCGCAATATTGTGCTATTGGATATTTCTTGCTATTGCGCAATACTGTGCAATTGAAGATTTCTTGCTATTGCGCAATACTGTGCAATTGAAGATTTCTTGCTATTGTGCAATACTGTGCAATTGAAAATTTCTTGCTATTGCACAATACTTATTGTATAATAATTTACAAATCCTGTTTGGTGTGTATTTCCTACCATATCATTATTATTTGCTTTTAAATATAAATCAGAAATAACCAACTTAAAATGGAAAATTTTAAAAGAAAAAAAAAAGGAAAAAAAGTAAAAAAAAGAACCCCCCCCCCCCCCAAAATTTTTTTGAACCCCCTTATGATTCATCACCCCCAAACTCAATCCCAGCCTTCCCTTTGTGGTATGGTATCTTGCAGTACAATTTCAGAGAGATCCATACAATTGAACACAAGTTATTGTCTGGAAACTAGAAAAATGCTTACTTTTGGCCCCTTTTTGGCCCCCAATTCCTAAACGTTTCGGGCAATTACCCCCAAACTCAATTCCAGCTTTCCCTTTGTGATATGGAACCTTGTAGTACAATTTAAGAAATATCCAAACACTTACACACAAGTAATTGTCATGAAACTAGAAAAATGCTTGTTTTTTGCCCCTTTTTTGGCCCCTAATTCCTAAAATTTTGAGGCAATTACCCCCAAAATCAATTACAGCCTTCCCTATGTGATATGGAACCTTGTGGTACAATGTCAGAGAGATCCATACACTTACACACAAGTTATTGTCTGGAAGTTACAAAAATGCTTATTTTTGGCCCCTTTTTGGCCCCTAATTCCTTAACTGTTGGTACCATAACCCCCAAAAACAATCCCAACCTTCCTTTCGTGGTATTGAACCTTATGGTAAAATTTCATGGAGATCCATTAACTTTAACTAAAGTTAGAGTGCGAAAACCAATGTGTCTTCGGACGACGCCAGACGACGACGACGCCAACGTCATACCAATATACGACCAAAAAATTTTTAATTTTTGCGGTCGTATAAAAATCCTGGTGGCCATCTTGAACAGTAAATCGGCAACAAAGTAGCAACACTTCATCAGCAACTCATAAGAAACATTTATGCCATGTTTGGTTTTAATCCAATCAGTAGTTCTCTAAAAGAAGACATTTGTATGTATTGTCAATAGGGTCCTTTGTTAAACATTGTCCCCAGCTGGCGGCCATCTTGGATGATGGATCGGCTTTAAAGTAACAACACTTGGTCAGCACTTCATAAAGAACATTCATGCCATGTTTGGTTTTAATGGTTCAGTGGTTCTCTAAAAGAAGACATTTGTATGTATTAAATTGTCCATAGGGTCCTTTGTTAAACATTGTCCCCCGCTGGCAGCCATCTTGGATGATGGATCGGCTTCAAAGTAGCAACACTTGGTCAACACCTCATAAGGAACATTCATGCCATGTTTGGTTTCATTCCATTCAGTGGTTCTCAAAAAGAAGACATTTGTATGTATTTCCCATAGGGTCCTATGTTAAAATAAATGTGGATAGTGTCCACATGTGGACACAGATGATGCCCCCGCTTGCATATCATATAGTTATAAAGGGACATAACTGAAGAACGGTAAAAGTGACACTACCCAAATTTGAACTTGATCTGAGTTTTGTGGTAATAAGCATTGTGTGTAAGTCTGATAACATTTGGTTGAGGCTAACTTAAGTAGAGAACAGAAACTAAAAATTCAGCAATTTTTCTATTTGTAATGATGCATAACTCTAGAACGGTTGTGTATAAGTTTTACAACATTTGGATGAGACAAACTAAAAAATTCAGCAATTTTTATGTTTATAATGGGACATAACTCTAGAATGGTAAAAGTGTTGCCACCTAATTTCGTACTTAATCTGTATTATGTAGTAATTAGCATTGTGTATAAGTTTCATAACATTTGGTTGAGGCAAACATAAGTTAGAGAACTGAAACAAAAAAAATGTACTTGATCTTTACTGAGTTTTGTTGGAATGAATATTGTGTATAGGTTTCACAATCTTTGGCTGGGGAAAACTTCAGTTACAGAATGGAAACTAAAAAATTTTGCAATCTTTCTATTTATAAAGGGGCATAACTCAATAATGGTTAAAGTGACACTACCCAAATTCAACTTGATCTGTGTTTTATCAGTGGTAGTCAAAATTAAACATTGCATTGTATAAAGCATTGATTGTAGTTGATTCAACTATAATCATGGTCAAAGGAAGATAACTCCAATTTTAAAAATATATTATATAAACTTGATATTTAGAAGAAAATAAAAATTTTGCAATTTTTCCTTTTATAAAGGGGCATAACTCTAGATCGGTTAAAGTGACACCACCAAAATTCAAACTTGATCTGTGTTTTGTGGTAATAAGCATTGTGTATAAGTTTCATAACATTTGGTTGAGGCAAACTTAAGTTAGAGAACGGAAACTAAAAATTATGCAATATTTCCTTTTATAAAGGGGCATAACTCTAGATCGGTTAAAGTGACGCCACCAAAATTCAAACTTGATCTGTGTTTTGTGGTAATAAGCATTGTGTATAAGTTTCATTACATTTGGTTGAGGCAAACTCAAGTTAGAGAACGGAAACCAATTTCGGGACGTACGTACGTACGTACGTACGTACAGACGGACAAGGGTAAAACTTAATGCCCCCTCCGGTACGGCGGGGGCATAAAAAGTCCCCCGCTGGCGGCCATCTTGAATGATGGATCGGCTTCAAAGTAACAATACTTGGTCAGCACCTCAAAAGGAACATTCATGCCATATTTGGTTTCATTCCATTCAGTGGTTCTCTAAAAGAAGACATTTGTATGTATTTCCCATAGGATCATATGTTAAAATAAGTCCCCCACGGGCCTCCATCTTGGATTATGGATCGGCTTCAAAATAACAACACTTGGTCAGCACCTCAAAAGGAACATTCATGCCATGTTTGGTTTCATTCCATTCAGTGGTTCTCTAAAAGAAGACATTTGTATGTATTTCCCATAGGGTCCTATGTTAAACTAAGTCCCCCCGCTGGCGGCCATCTTGGATTATGGATCGGCTTCAAAGTAACAACACTTGGTCAACACCTCATAAGGAACATTCATGCCATATTTGGTTTGATTCCATTCAGTGGTTCTCTAAAAGAAGACATTTGTAAATATTTCCCATAGGGTCCTATGTTAAACTAAGTCCCCTGCTGGCGGCCATCTTGGATGATGGATCGGCTTCAAAGTAACAACACTTTGTCAGCACCTCATAAGGAACATTCATGCCATGTTTGGTTTCATTCCATTCAGTGCTTCTCTAGAAGAAGTTCAAAATGTAAAAAGTTAACGATGACGACGACGGACGACGGACACCAAGTGATGAGAAAAGCTCACTTGGCCCTTTGGGCCAGGTGAGCTAAAAATCTATTTGTTACCTCCACTTCCTTCCTGGAATCTTGTTTCTGTATCATTTTTACTGACATGTATCAGTTGTAGAATAAGAGGACGTCTTGTAACAATGCCAGTTCCTCTTGGTAAAAAATCTTTCCCAACTAATCCTTCAATCACAGAACTTTTTCCTGAACTCTGCAAAAAAATTAATAATTGAACATATTCTGTTCCAATTTCCAGACGCTCTTCTTCCTTAAAACCTGAATTCAAATACTTTTCAAAATCATGAACATCATATCCGTGCACAAGTTTAATGTGACAATTGTAAAAAGATTAAAAAAGATGTACATGTATAAATTTCCCTAATGTCTTAATCAAATCAAACCAAACATATTCTATCCAAATAAAACAAATATTTATTACATAACATGTCAGGTGATGGCAGACATTGACATAGAAAACTTTATTTTGATTCAGCATATTATAAAACATATAAACTCAAGCTCTGGTGAGCTTTTTACTGAATACAATAAAATGCTCTGCTGGGGCGCAGCTTGATACGACCGCTGAGGTCGAACCCTGAACAGTTGGGGCAAGTATGGACACAACATTCAAGCTTGATACACCACTGAATTTGGATTGTAATTAAATATTTGACACAGCATAGGTTTCTGACACAGAATGAATGTGGTCTAAGAACTAAAAATTTTTTAATTTACCTATTCAATCCATATCATTATTATTTGCTTTTATATATAAATCAGAAATAACCAATTTAAAATGGAAAATTTTAAAGAAAAAAAAGGAAACCCCCCCCCCCCCCCCCAAATTTTTTGAACCCCCTTATGATTCATCACCCCCAAACTCAATCCCAGCCTTCCCTTTGTGGTATGGTATGGTACCTTGCAGTACAATTTCAGTGAGATCCATACACTTGAACACAAGTTATTGTCTGGAAACTAGAAAAATGCTTGTTTTTTGGCACCTTTTTGGCCCCTAATTCCTAATATTTAGGGCAATTACCCCCAAACTCAAATCCAGCTTTCCCTTTGTGATATGGAACCTTGTAGTACAATTTCATAAAGATCCATACACTTCCACACAAGTTATTGTCCTGAAACTAGAAAAATGCTTGTTTTTTGCCCCTTTTTGGCCCTTAATTCCTAAAATTTGGAGGCAATTACCCCCAAAATCAATCCTAGCATTTCCTTTGTGATGTGGAACCTTGTGGTACAATGTCAGAGAGATCCATACACTTACACACAAGTTATTGTCATGAAACTAGAACAATGCTTGTTTTTTGTCCCCTTTTGGCCCCTAATTCCTAAAATTTGGAAGCAATTACCCCCAAAATTAATCCCAGCCTTCCCTTTGTGATATGGAACCTTGTGGTACAATGTCAGAGAGATCCATACACTTGAACACAAGTTATTGTCTGGAAACTAGAAAAATGCTTGTTTTTTGGCCCCTTTTTGGCCCAAATTCCTAAACTTTTAGGGCAATTACCCCCAAACTCAAACCCAGCTTTCCCTTTGTGATATGGAACCTTGTAGTACAATTTCATAAAGATCCATACACTTACACACAAGTTATAGTCCTGAAACTAGAAAAATACTTGTTTTTTACCCCTTTTTGGTCCCTAATTCCTAAAATTTTGAGGCAATTACCCCCAAAATCAATCCCAGCCTTCCCTTTGTGGTATGGTACCTTGCAGTACAATTTCAGAGAGATCCATACACTTGAACACAAGTTAATGTCTGGAAACTAGAAAAATGCTTATTTTTGGCCCTGGCCCTTTTTGGCCCCTTATTCCTAAACGTTTTAGGTAATTACCCCCAAACTCAATTCCTGCTTTTCCTTTGTGATATGGAACCTTGTAGTACAATTTCAGAAAGATCCATACACTTACACACAAGTTATTGTCATGAAACTAGAAAAATGCTTGTTTTTTGCCCCTTTTTTGGCCCCCTTATTCCTAAATTTTGAGGCAATTACCCCCAAAATCAATCCCAACATTCCCATTGTGATATGGAACCTTGTGGTACAATGTCAGAGAGATCCATACACTAACACACAAGGTATGTCTGGAAGTTACAATAAACAGCTGCGCCATGAGCGCATGATACGCCCGTCGTCTTGTGTGTGAATTTTTATGCAATAAGCATAAATAGTTTCTGACATACGGTGTGACATGCGAAAACCCCCTTTTTTTTTAACAAAAACTCAATATCTCTAAAATAAAATTTTGAATCAAAACCAAAAAGTATACAGATCTTTAGATTAATATAACTAAGAAGTGTGTAAAACTTTAAGCAATAATCATAAATCGTTTTTGAGATACGGCGCGACATGTGAAAAACCCCTCCCCCTTTTTTTAACAAAATACTCAATATCTCTAAAATAAAATTTTGAATCATCACCAAAAAGTATACAGATCTTAAGATTAATATAACTAAGAAGTGTGTAAAGTTTTAAGCAATAATCATAAATTGTTTTTGAGATACGGCGTGACATGTGAAAAAAAAACACACACCTGTTTTAGTTACTAAGTCCCGTAACTCAAAAAGTTTTAATCTTATTTTCACCAAAAAGTATACAGATCGTTTGACCATCATAAGAAACAACTATGTTAAGTTTCATGAAATTTGGATAAGTCATTCTCAAGTTACGGTGCGACATGTTTACGCGGGACAGACAGACGGCCGGACATTTGTATACTATAATACATAATGACGGGCGTATAAAAATGCTTATTTTTGGCCCATAATTCCTTAACTGTTGGTACCATAACCCCCAAAATCAATTCCAGCTTTTCCTTTTGTGGTATTGAACCTTATGGTAAAATTTCATAGAGATCCATTCACTTAAACGAAAGTTAGAGTGCGAAAACCAATGTGTCTTCGGACGACGCCGACAACTTCATACCAATATACGACCGCAAAATTTTTTTGCCGTCATATAAAAATTGTGAAGTTAAAATATGTAAGCACTAGATAGCAAAGCAATTCATATAAGCTTAAAATTTGAGTCAATAAATATACATGATATATAAAGAAAGCAATATCATAATAAACAAGCATTCTGTGAGTATTGCATGGCAATACATAGTCCCCTACTGGTTACAAATTCATTGTAATGGAACAAAATTCTAACTTGATCTATAACTTGTCATGGTGTAGATGCTTTCGCACACGACTGGTCTTTGTATAATTGCTGGATTGTTCCGCCTATTAAATTGATAAGTAGGTCCGTATTACATTTGTCAAAGTGTCAAGGTGAAGGTGTATTGGTTACACCGAAATGGACATCGTCAGTTTTTTGGCCAATCATATGGTCTTTTAAAGAAAAATCTTTCCATTCATTTGTTAAAAGATTCATAGAATACAAACAGCCTAGAGGATTTTTTCACAAAGGATCAGATCCTAATAGTATTTTCGTCGCTGATCGTTTGTCTTTTAATGTTCTAGTATTATACTTAGATTTTACAAGCTAACATGTTTCAGTTATAACTGTTGTAATACATGTAGTGACTAGTAGATGTTCCCATTATGGGTATTGTTAGTTTTGTATCCTGGGATGGGATTTTCCGTGAAGGAATACAAATTATAATCATATATTTTATCCGTTATGGGTTTTTCCCGCGAAGGGATATTAAAAGGAGGGATTTTCCGTGAAGGAGTTAAAATCTTATTCATATCTTACCTGTTATGGGTTTTCCCGTGAAGGGATATTGAAAGGAGACATTATATATTTAATTAATATTGTGCCCGTGAAGGGATTTGATTTCTCGTTTTGAGATTAACAATTATTTGCATCCCGCGAAGGGTCTATATTTATAAGTATTTTCCCTGTGATAGGGTTTAATTTTATGGACACGTGTAGTTTGCAAGACGCATTAATAATTATAGGGATTTTCTTTTCGATTTTTTTTTTTTTTTTTTTTTAAATATATTTATTTTTGCTTATATTTGATAATCAATTTGTTCATTTGAAGTTTGTCTTTTAGTTTTGTTGAAAACGTTTTTAATATATTTCAGAGGTTTCAATTTCGTATTGGAAAGATTTGCAAGCAATTCAAAACCCGTCATTACGTGACTTTGCTAGAAAACTCCCAAATATAGCAGAAGCAAGCAAAAGCAAAAACACGGTGAAAAAGTACGCTTATGCTTTTAAAAGATTTAGTGTTCGGTGTGCAAATTACGATTTATGTCCACGGCCAGCTTCAGTGACAACAGTTGCATTTTATTTATCATTCTTGATACAATCCGAAGTTTCAGCTTCTGTTTTAAATGGCATTTTTTACGGAATAAAATGGGAACATGATTTAAACCTGTATAGTAATGTGTTTTGAAATGATTTTTTGTCAATAGTTCTAGAAGGTGGAGTCAAAACCAATTAACAAGAAAGAACCTATCACTTACGATATAATAAGGAGAGTCATAGACAAGTTTGGTTCATCTACTAATTTAGCAGATTTAGGAATTTGTTGTTTAGTCCTTTTGAGTTATGCGGGATTTTTAAGATACAGTGAACTGTCTCATTTGAAAGCTTCGAATTTACGATTCTATGATTCACATGTCGAAATCACCATAGCAAAACTGACGTTTACAGACAAGGCAATGTAGTTGTGATAGCAAAAACTAACTCTGATTTATGTCCAGTTGCAATGTTAAAAAGAAATTTGACAGCAGCAAATATTTTACTTTCTTCAGATGAGTTAAAAGTTAATAAACTATTATCATACACACGAGCCTGAGAGCTGTTATTAAGCGCATTGTCAGAAGTAGGTTGTAAATAAAATGCTTCGCTGGGGCGCAGCTTGATACGACCGCAGAGGTGGAACCCTGAACAGTTGGGGCAAGTATGGACACAACATTCAAGCTTGATACAGCTCTGAATTTGGATTGTTATTAAATATTTGACACAGCATAGGTTTCTGACACAGAAAGAATGTGGTCTAAGAACTTGAATTTTTTTAATTTACCTATTATGGTCCAATGCCCAAGTTTAATTTTGGACCCTTTGGACCTTAATGTAGACCAATTTAAATAAAATGCTTCGCTGGGGCGCAGCTTGATACGACCGCAGAGGTCGAACCCTGAACAGTTGGGGCAAGTATGGACACAACATTCAAGCTTGATACAGCTCTGAATTTGGATTGTTATTAAATATTTGACACAGCATAGGTTTCTGAC